ATACAGGTGTGTGGGTGTTGACTATACAGGTGTGTTGGTGTTGACTATACAGGTGTGTGGGTGTTGACTATACAGGTGTGTAGGTGTTGACTATACAGGTGTGTAGGTGTTGACTATACAGGTGTGTGGGTGTTGACTATACAGGTGTGTGGGTGTTGACTATACAGGTGTGTGGGTGTTGACTATACAGGTGTGAGGGTGTTGACTATACAGGTGTGTAGGTGTTGACTATACAGGTGTGTTGGTGTTGACTATACAGGTGTGTAGGTGTTGACTATACAGGTGTGTGGGTGTTGACTATGCAGGTGTGTGGGTGTTGACTATACAGGTGTGTTGGTGTTGACTATACAGGTGTGAGGGTGTTGACTATGCAGGTGTGTGGGTGTTGACTATACAGGTGTGTGGGTGTTGACTATACAGGTGTGTAGGTGTTGACTATACAGGTGTGTGGGTGTTGACTATACAGGTGTGAGGGTGTTGACTATACAGGTGTGTGGGTGTTGACTATACAGGTGTGTGGGTGTTGACTATACAGGTGTGTGGGTGTTGACTATACAGGTGTGTAGGTGTTGACTATACAGGTGTGTGGGTGTTGACTATACAGGTGTGAGGGTGTTGACTATACAGGTGTGTGGGTGTTGACTATACAGGTGTGTGGGTGTTGACTATACAGGTGTGTAGGTGTTGACTATACAGGTGTGAGGGTGTTGACTATACAGGTGTGTGGGTGACAATACAGGTCTGTGGGTGTTGACTATACAGGTGTGTGGGTGTTGACTATACAGGTGTGTGGGTGTTGACTATACAGGTGTGTAGGTGTTGACTGTACAGGTGTGTTGGTGTTGACTATACAGGTGTGTGGGTGTTGACTATACAGGTGTGTGGATGTTGACTATACAGGTGTGTAGGTGTTGACTATACAGGTGTGTTGGTGTTGACTATACAGGTGTGTAGGTGTTGACTATACAGGTGTGTAGGTGTTGACTGTACAGGTGTGTTGGTGTTGACTATACAGGTGTGTGGGTGTTGACTATACAGGTGTGTGGATGTTGACTATACAGGTGTGTGGGTGTTGACTATACAGGTGTGTGGGTGTTGACTATACAGGTGTGTAGGTGTTGACTATACAGGTGTGTTGGTGTTGACTATACAGGTGTGTGGGTGTTGACTATACAGGTGTGTGGGTGTTGACTGTACATGTGTGAGGGTGTTGACTATACAGGTGTGTGGGTGTTGACTATACAGGTGTGTGGGTGACTATACAGGTGTGTGGGTGTTGACTATACAGGTGTGTGGGTGTTGACTATACAGGTGTGTGGGTGTTGACTATACAGGTGTGTGGGTGTTGACTATACAGGTGTGTGGGTGTTGACTATACAAGTGTGTGGGTGTTGACTATACAGGTGTGTGGGTGTTGACTATACAGGTGTGTGGGTGTTGACTATACAGGTGTGTGGGTGTTGACTATACAGGTGTGAGGGTGTTGACTATACAGGTGTGTAGGTGTTGACTATACAGGTGTGTGGGTGTTGACTATACAGGTGTGAGGGTGTTGACTATGCAGGTGTGTGGGTGTTGACTATACAGGTGTGTGGGTGTTGACTATACAGGTGTGTGGGTGTTGACTATACAGGTGTGAGGGTGTTGACTATACAGGTGTGTGGGTGTTGACTATACAGGTGTGTAGGTGTTGACTATACAGGTGTGTAGGTGTTGACTATACAGGTGTGTGGGTGTTGACTATACAGGTGTGAGGGTGTTGACTATGCAGGTGTGTGGGTGTTGACTATACAGGTGTGTGGGTGTTGACTATACAGGTGTGTGGGTGTTGACTATACAGGTGTGTGGGTGTTGACTCTACAGGTGTGTGGGTGTTGACTATACAGGTGTGTAGGTGTTGACTATACAGGTGTGTGGGTGTTGACTATACATGTGTGAGGGTGTTGACTATACAGGTGTGTGGGTGTTGACTATACAGGTGTGTGTGTGTGTTGACTATACAGGTGTGTAGGTGTTGACTATACAGGTGTGTGGGTTTTGACTATACAGGTGTGAGGGTGTTGACTATGCAGGTGTGTGGGTGTTGACTATACAGGTGTGTAGGTGTTGACTATGCAGGTGTGTGGGTGTTGACTATACAGGTGTGTAGGTGTTGACTATACAGGTGTGAGGGTGTTGACTATACAGGTGTGTGGGTGACAATACAGGTGTGTGGGTGTTGACTATACAGGTGTGTGGGTGTTGACTATACAGGTGTGTGGGTGTTGACTATACAGGTGTGTAGGTGTTGACTATACAGGTGTGTTGGTGTTGACTATACAGGTGTGTAGGTGTTGACTATACAGGTGTGTAGGTGTTGACTATACAGGTGTGTAGGTGTTGACTATACAGGTGTGAGGGTGTTAACTATACAGATGTGGGGGTGTTGACTATACAGGTGTGTTGGTGTTGACTATACAGGTGTGTAGGTGTTGACTATACAGGTGTGTGGGTGTTGACTATACAGGTGTGTGGGTGTTGACTATACAGGTGTGTGGGTGTTGACTATACAGGTGTGAGGGTGTTGACTATTCAGATGTGTGGGTGTTGACTACACAGGTGTGTTGGTGTTGACTATACAGGTGTGTGGGTGTTGACTGTACAGGTGTGAGGGTGTTGACTATACAGGTGTGTAGGTGTTGACTATACAGGTGTGTGGGTGTTGACTATACAGGTGTGGCGTCTCTGCTGCCATCCTAGCCGCGAGGAGTCAACTGCGGGTAGTTTTTATTCTTCTTCTCCTGCTGCTGCTTCGTGCATCGACGTTAATTGATGGTTCATTGAGAGCTCAGTCGCACACTTTGCACAATAATTAGTCACGAAGGAATGCAGAGACGTTTCTAGAATTCGTGGGACATTTTTGCCAGTATCTAAGATGATGAAAAACATGCAAACAAACATGCTCCGATAATTATTCTTTGGGTCTTTTAGTAAAGCCACGTAGATAGAAAAATAATGATGTTGCAATTATTTTTTATGATTTATTATTATTATTCTATCTACGTGGCTTTACTGAAAGACCCAAAGAATATGAATTACTGCAGTCACGAAAGCTTTAAGTCAAGATTTATGCTCTGATGATTGTAATTGTCCTTAAAACTGATTGGCCTACACCAGAGACAGCCTTCTTCATGGCTTTGCCTCACCACCCGTGACAGATCAGAGACTAGAGGCGGTGACGGGGGTCCCTTTAAATTCTAAAATGAAATTTATCAGAGGATCCCCCTCTTAGGGTTCCACATCTTAGCAGTGGAGCTCCCCCCCCCCCACCCACCTCATCGTCAATGAGGTTTGCAAGTGAAGCAAGCTGTTGGTCTCAGTCCAGTTACGTAAACAAAACAAAAAAAGCCAAATACTGATGATCACTCGAAGTGGTATGAATAACCAATGCCGCTCTGGGAAATATGGGCAAGCGTCGTCACATCGTCAAATCGCATCCTGTTCAAAGCGAACCCAGATTTAACTCTGTCCCGTCATCTTCCGAGGCCGTATTCCGCTGCTGGCGAGAGTTCCAAACGGACATTCACACGTGTGAGTCGGCTCCATCTGACAGAGCGATGGTGATGCAGCAGTGGGATTGAGCGCACGAACACCCGCAGACACGCGGCACGATTGAGTGAATCATCACTAGCGGGCAACGCCGGGAATTGAAGGCGCCACTGCAGCCGTGCTGGACCAGTGCCTTCGTGGGAAGATAGCAGTCGAGTTTGCACTCCTGCGGCCGCCCGCCCACTCCTGCTGGGTCACCCTTTGAACTCGCGTGGCCGCACAGCGTATCAACGCGCCGCGTGTGCCTCCGTAAGGAATGAATAATCCATTAACTCCGCCGTGCCGGCCGGCGGTTGCGCATATCGGAGAGCGAGTGGACTCTGACACCATTCGACGCCTTTAACAAAACGCCCATGGAGGTTGCAAGACAATCCGATCAAGATTGCTGACGGATCGTGCACACATCGGCCAAGGCTGCCAAGATCGCTGTGCATTGTGGAACCATCACAAAGGGTGCGGACCGATGTGCATTGTAATACCACATCACGAAGGCGGCAACTTGGTGGGAACTGGCACGCGAAAGCTCCGTCAGATGCTCATTCTGCACGTTTAACCCGGAAAAGCCGATTCTGCAGTGTCACCACGGTGCCACCCACCCGCCGTGGGCAGCCAGCCGTGTCCATGTGACGGAGGTCGGAAGCACGCAGCTGCGATGCACCCAGCCACTTGCGTTTCATTGCCAATCATTTTATATTCGTCGTCAGCTTCATCGTCTCGCTTCATCGCCACCCTCGTGTGAGCCTCCTCCCTGGTGTTTATCTGCTCAAAGTTTAGAAGCGCTCAGGATTCCGCACGAAAGCGCCAGCGACGCACACGCGACTCGTTAAATGGCCAACGGTGGAGGTGTGGCCCCACGCGTGCTGACGTGCACGCCGTCTCGCACGAGGTAGAGGAGTGGCCACTTTGTGCCACGGTGGCTAGGAGCTGTTAACGACCTCGCCCGGTATACACGAGGTCATGGGTTTCGACCCTGACGCCTGCATATTTGGAGTGTGCATGTCTTTCTCCCCGTGGTCGTGCGGATTTTTCTTGGGGTTTTCCATCCACATTTAGAATGAACGTGCGTTTAGAGTATTTGGCTGCAATGAATGTCCACTTGATAAGCCAGTTCGCTGAAGCTGTCACTTGTGGCCAGGTCGCTTCTGAAAAAGAGCAATATAGCTGAGTGGGCCTTACCTGTGAAAAAAAAGATTCTAGTTTAGTTCTGATCCCTGGGTTTCACCCCCAAAATCCACGAAAAATTACCCCCCCCCCCACTCCATCCCGACAAGCAGCACGCGGCGCTGTTGGACCTCTGTAAGAGAGTGGCTCGATTTCATTAGAGACGATTTTTATTAGAGACGAAAGTAAATCGGCAACCATTGCCCGCACCGTGTGCACGCACGCACGAAACAAAGACACGTACACACGCACACACACAATACGCACACGCGGGCAGTATACCAATGCATGCATACACTCAGCAGGTTCCTTCACAGACAACCGCCACATCACCAGCACCCTCATATATACCCTCTCCTCGCGGCCACGCGACAGGCGGAGATCGGCTACGCCCAGGGCCGGCACATTATTGGACATGCCTGGAAACGCAATGTAACATCGGTTCCCCGCTTAACGTCAAGAGCCCTTTTCCCACGGTTAGGTCACTACATTGCCAGACTGAATATTGTGTTTCGCTCATCTGGCTAGGGTGACACTGCAGTCATTTCTCTGGGTTGAAAACAACAAGTACCAGCGCCTCTTGGGAGGTCAGCAGAAGTGTTCATCCTGTGGAAATACCTTTCCCTGCCATGATAATGTGGATATTTCAGCCCAATCCCAAGGCTCTCGATTGGAAATGAGCACCACGCCTCAGCGCACACTTTGGCAGGGGAGATGCTTTGACTTTTTCTGTCGCGTAAGAATTCGACTTTTCTTTGTTAAATAAAAATAGAGTTTGTGATTACTACTCTATGCAAAAATGGACCCTAGCCAAGTGCTGTGATGAGCACCTTCCGTGGAACGTGCCGGTGGTGCAGCAACTTAAGAGGAAGGGAGCCGTGGAGCACACGCACACAGCAGCCGCGTGTGATGCGCAGGGCAGCAGGCGAGTGCCCGTAGAAGACCGCACGGCTGGAGGATTGCTCGGATCACCTGAGCGGCGTGCTCCCCTCGCTGCGGGGCTTCTTTAGGTGATATTCTTGTGCACGATGGCAGCGCCCGTTCGAGAGCTCGATGCCAATGTCAAGGTCTGCTGCTGGTCACGACGAGAGGGCTTCAGCAGAGACAGTTCGTGTCGTCTTGCTGTTCCTCCTCCTCTGTTGAAGAAGCGCAGACTATGGTGGTTTACTGCACGGTCCATAGTTTGGGATTTCTGAGGGTAATGTGACCTCATCCTTCCTTGAAGAAAAAAAATCCATAAACTATCTCAACATCCCTCCTGAGACGGAATCTGGAGACCACGTGGGGTTTCCTGGATACGCTACCGACACAGTGTATATTGTAACTAAGATGATGATGAGATCTTTAGTGTGGATGCTGACCCTTAATTTAAGTCTGAATCAGATACTAGTCCCAATGTGAAGGACTGTGTCTACTACGCCGATTTCACACCCGCACGCAGCACGTACAGAGACAGCCTCTGGGCGCGGAGTTCTGTCTGATTCGGAGCATTATTCTATATCAGACCTCATGATAGAATCATAGGGGTAGTGAATTAAACACATTTTACGAATATGGCAAAATATCAATAAATTATATATAGAGTGCATAAGTAACATGTACATTGCTTATTCTGTAAATCACAAATCTGTGTAATATGTTCAATAAATGCAAAGCTCGGTCACCGCTTGCTTCCCTCCGATGGCTTCTTCATGTCTCGTTGTGAACTGCAGCTCGCGAGCACGCCCTGGCGTGTGTGCATGTCACCCACGCAGCGCGACAACGCACGCCGCTGACCACGGCACTCCGACCCCACGCCGGCACCTGTGTGCCCAGCCAGTGCCGGATTAAGCTAGTGCGGGGTCTGTATCATATGATGTTATAAAGGGGCCCTAAATAAAATAAAAAGACAAATATTAAAACACAAAGTTTTTTACTTGTATTTTTTCATTTTCTATACAGCCAGATAATACGACAAATCGCTAACCTTAAACACCGAGTCGTTCATAAAAGTTGAAGGCGGTATAGTACTATAGTAATAGAGCAAGTGCAGAATCACTGGACCGGAATTGAAAGCTTGAAAGCATTTAGCGCGGGGCCCTTGAAAGTGCAGGGCGCGTAGCTACTACATACGTAGCTACTTTTTCTACTACGATAATCCAGCACTGTGCCCAGCTGTGGTTTGCCGATGAGTACCAACAGACTGAAAGCAGCGCCGAGTGTGCAATGTTGCACAACTGCCAAATAAAATACCGACTTTATTGATCAGACTCGCCCATTTGTCTGCGAAGTATCGTGGTGGCCACTGCCGTCACCTGACACGATAGAGAGCAAAAGCAGAAGCGGACATCGGAGGGGTGACGACGATCTTGTACCACTCGGTCTCTTGAGTGTGCCGAAAGTTCGCTTCACACCAGGAACATTGACACCCTAAATGTGAACTTCTCACGACAGTCACCGTGATGATTCCAGGTCGCATGATGAACATTTCCCGTTATCCCTGAACCGGTGTCGTTAAACCAATTTGAAGTCGGCATCTCCCCACGCAAATTCACAATTGGACGGCACTCATCCATTTGGGGGCCCTTAGCTAGTGGTGGAAATTCCACATTTCCATAGCAGGAGGCCCATAAATTCGTGTTTAAAATGGGCATTTATATTAAGGACAATTCAATGTTGAGAGTACAGCGACGTTTTCTCACCCTTCACCTCCCATCCATGAACCCTGTCGTGTTATCCACAGACTCCTTGCTTTTAATATAACGGTGCTGGTGAACGGTCAAGGCCGATGGAGCATCTATTCTCCATCAGTGGCACAGATCCGGGTGCCACGTGGGGGACACGGCACGAAACGTAGTTGTAGTCAAGAGGGAAGTAGAGGGGATGATGTCAGCCGTGCCGGGTAAACTTAAAATACCTATAAACTAGTTTCATTTTAACCAGGTAGGCCCCACTGAGCTATGCAGCTCTATTTCAGAAGCGACCTGGCCACAAATGATAGCTCAACGAAGTGGCTTATCATCATGTGGAAATGTATCGCAATAAAATACTATAAGCGCGCGTTTCTAAACGTGGAGGGAACAACAGGAGGAACCGGAGAAAGATCCACGCGAGCACACGGAGAGAGAGAGACGTGCAAAACTCGAAACATACAATAGGCGCCAGGGTCGGGATCGAACCACGGAGGGGGCAGGGCGCCCCGTGCGGCAGGACGACAGGAAATGCGATCGATACCACGGCGAGATGAACGGAGGTGAACGAAATCGTGGGCCAGCCGTCGGTAGAGCAGCCACCGCAGCTGGATCAGTATGGGGTGAGGGAAGGGGGGTAATGGAACCGTGATTAACTACAGAGGACGCAAGGCAGACTCGGCTGGGTCATCAATAAGTGCGATGGCTCTCCAATGTGTTCTCGGGTCGTACCGCGTGTTATTTTTTATTTATTTCGGGCATGATGTCCGACGTTTCACTCCGTGTGCTGGGAGCCTCTTGAGGGACTCAGTTTGTGAAGCTCAAAGCACGAGGAGCGAGAGACGCTGGACAACCGTTGCCAGAAAGGCACCGGTGGAGCTGCGGAGCACAGCTGGTGGTGGTCCGCTTGTGTTTCGATGTTCTACCAAAAGCGTTGTAGATGCAAACGCGTTTGACAAACGGCTCCCAAATGCACGGGATCTGTGAATAATTCCCTCTCCAACATACAGACACCCCCGATTCCCTGAGAATGTGCAGGTAGACTGATGATTAAAAAAAACACAGCCTCAAGGCCGTGGTGCCGTGACACTTATTGTAAACTCAGAATCAAACAGGACATGAGAGTGTTGGAGACGTCATCGGGAGCACGTGGTCGCGGTGTGTGGGCCGCGTGTGACGGGATCGAGGTCGGTCTCCAAGGGGAAAGCCGGCAACACAAGGAGACTGCAGTGCCAGAGGACCGCGTGGACCACCTACAAGGTCTCCTCTGACGACGAAGCGGGCACGAGGAATGGTGGCGTCAAGGGCATTGGCTACGACGGCTTTGTGACGTTGCTGCCCGACATCGTCAGGTGAGACGAGTCAACGTCAGTCAGTCAGTCAGCGCACTGCTATTGGCTATCCACGGCGCAACCAAACATCGCCGTGGACTGCCTGCGTGGGGCACCGCGACTGGGTCACTCGTGGGCCACTCGCAGCCCAGTGGCCCCACGTGGCCGCAAGTCTGAGCGGACGGGCCCGGCCAGTGAGTGACTCAGCGCAGGCCGTCCGTGTCCACTGACCCGCTCGCTCACGCCAACGAACCCTCCCTCACCCCGTCATTACCCGCGTGTGTGTGCGTGCGTGTGTGTGCGTGCGTGTGTGTGCGTGCGTGCGTGTGCGTGCGTGCGTGCGTGTGTGTGCGTGTGTGTGCGTGCGTGCGTGTGTGTGCGTGCGTGTGCGTGCGTGCGCCTTGCCGGTAACTGTTTACGGAGCGTGCTGGACACGCGCCCCCCTCTCACACTCTATAATAGTGCAAGACGGGCAGCTTGCCGATGCGTCGTTGATACAAATATAGTTGTGCTCTTGTGTGCGCGCGAGACACGCGGCGAGTGCCAGGGAGGTGAAGCCTGTGGGCACAGATCGCCACCCTGTGCCATGGCACGCCCCGTGCGCGCGCGCGTCTCAAGCATATACTACAGTGGCCATGTCAGGCGATGTGAACGAGGGTTATGTCTAACGTGAGGCTACAGTGAGCGGAGAGTCAGGGATGGAGTTAAAGAGACGTGGAGAGACGGGCACCTCTCGGGACACGCCGCGGGGCGAGCGCGAGCTGCATGCACCGCCCGACGTGAAGGGGAGCCAGGCGCTGCCCGCGCCCTCCACAGCTCCTGGGTAAGCAGCACGGACGGCAGGGATAGACCGCGGCACAACACAGCGGGGTTGTCTGGTGGCGAACTTTGGCCAAGGACTGTTGTTGACTTAGGGAGAAAGGAATTGGGTGGAGCCTTCTCCTTCGGAAATGTCAACAAGACAGACCTCGCCACGCCGCAGTGTTACAGGCGCAGCGAGTGGGACACGGCGCAGGGTGAAGGGGACGTGCGCACATCGCGAAACAAGGCCACGTGGCCACGGGGCCACGTGGCCACGGGGCACAAAGTCGAGAGGGACGTTTTGAGGTGCACAAAAAAGACTTGAAGACGCCAAAGTTATGTTTCCATAAAACAAGACGTGCTTGTGTTAGCTACAGCCAATATTTAGTCATTACCACACAACCGTGCCTAATTTAATATCATTCTGTCACATACCCCAACACTGGCACTTGATCATTCAGACCGTGGTAAAACATGTACATTTATTCAGTGCGACGTCTTATCGATGAGCTTTGGGCCATCAACACTGGCTCACTGATTATATCCAACATCGAACCAAAATCGGACTTGGCATGTACAGAATACGATTCCAATGTAACGCCAGAGGGCAACGTTGACGCTAACCCAGGAACATGAATCAATCTCAGGACGTGCTTGGCAGTCTGTGCCCAAGCACAGAGAGCCGTGTTGGGGATGGGAACCATTCTGCTGGTGTGTGCAAGTCAACGCGACAACGCTTGCATTCCAAAACCCATTTTACACACATAACACAAAACGTTCGTTTGTAACTGTTATTTCGCTATTGTCTAAATCGAATTTCTGCGCGCACTTTTTTAAGCCAATATTGTCGCGGGTATATTTCGCGTTTATGGAAACATAATGGGAAGTGAAATTTAACACAGAAGCAGTTTGTTTCCATGATAAAAAAATGAAAATCCCACGTGACCATGCCGCATCACGGAGGCCATCGCCACAAGTCGGACGCGCCCACACGAGGAACACCGCGACCCCGATGAGGTATACAGCCGGGTCTCAACATGCTCACCCCTAGCAGCAGCACCCACATCGATCGGCGAGGTCGTGGCACTGCGGCGCGTGCGTGCCGCCACACACAAACAACAACTCTCGAATTCAAACGACGCCCCCCGAGCGCTTTCCCGCCGAAGCGGCGGCGTGAACGACCGGCAACGCGCGAACCGAACCGTGTTGACCAGCGGCGTCTACAACCTCCTCCGCCTCAGCCACGCTGCGGCCGAGCCGCGAGAGGAAAGGCCGGCGCCTAACGAGTCCGGTCCGGACCTGGCACGGAAATCAGCCGGTGGAAAACCACCCGTGCCGTGGAGGTCCCCGTGCTGGCTGGGATCGCACGCGGCGCAGGCGGCGGAGGCGTTCCACCCGGTGTGGTGCCATGATGCCACAGGATGTCAGGGCCACCGGCAAATGTAACACACACACACCGCCTAGCTTGGTGGATGAGCTCGATTCGTAATCGACTAGGCTATAGGTCATTACATAGCAATCGATCAATCGATTTAATTGGGAATAAATCATCTTTAGCATCTTCATAGTGCCGCTCGTCCTCAGGCTCCGAAGGGCTCCGCACAATTACAGCGCTGCCATGCAATGGTAATTAGATTCAGTAAAAGAGAAATCAAAATCTCCACACTACAAGAAAAAAATAGAATCTCACAAAATGTCAATTACAGTGTTCAGGTCTATTCTGCTTTGTCCAAATCTAAACACGCAGACTGGACCATTGCTTTACAGTCAACTAATGAGCGAGACCGAAATTATTACACTGTAAATGGTATCAGTAGCTTCATTATTATCTTTTTCATCCAAACCTATGCAGAAAACGTCTGTCCTTTCCTATGTCTTTAGTAAAAGTTTAAATACATATTTGTTCGGCAAGGAAATGAGACATACTGCAAGACGGCATCTCATCTGGGCCTGGGCAAGGAGGAGATGTCTAGTTTGAGTATCACCAGTGTGTGAGACACGACACGGAAGTCTACAACCACAGTACGCACTACAGTATGCGCACAATAATTACTCACTTCAGTGCATGCCGACCGCGATTGGTTAAAAGTTTAAGTGAACAAATAATTAAATACAAAGTGCACTCCGCCCTCGCCGAGAAGGCTGGTGGCGGCGGCGATGCCCATTAGTGACGGGCACCACAGTGCCAACGGGGATCAGACGATCGTCCCAGTGCCGTCGTGAAGACGGGGGAGGGGTTCCACTGTGTCCCAGGGGTAGCACTGCGCCCCATCTCCCTGCCTCGGCAGCAAAAAAACACTCGATCATCCCCTCCAGCCGGAGCTCATCGCCCGTGGAATCCAAAGCCAGCAGCATCTTGGAAGATTCCAGGTCGAGCTGGGAATGCCTTGGGAGCCCTTCAAGATGACTCTCGATGGAATATTATCTGAACTGCAAGACGCACGCTTTCTGTAATTCATTAATGAATGGAAAGCCCAGACTTGAAGAAGCTTTGTTGCAATATCTCACGTGCAAGATGCAAACCAGTGGACATTTTTTCTTAAGGACTCCCAGGCCCGAGGCTTTGTTGAAACGGGAGCCCGCATCCTGCACGCGTTGTTGAGAAGAGACGATGGGCCATGAAAACCGTTTGCCAGGCTACAAGTCCACGGAAGCGAGAGCCGGGGTTGGCCGTCACGGTGCCGGAAACCGACCTCCACCGGGGAGACGCATGGGGTTAAAGGGAAGCCCAGGCAAAGGGACTCGTTACTCGAATAGGATCCAGACTTTTAATCAATTAATTAATTCACCATCAATGTGGAGCACAGAGCCACAAGCTAGAAGCCACATCGTGGAAAACGGGGCCCGGGCTTGCGCCTCGCGGTGTGAGAGCAGAGACTGGACTCGAAGACTTGAGGAGGCACCACCGAACCGAGAGGTGGGCACGAGATAAGAGAAACGGTGACATCGGTCTCCCCCACAGCAGCTCGGCAGGCACATCGCGTGACACGGACTCCAAGGGGGGGAGCGCTGCTCAAGAGAAACGACCGTTGAGAGACGGTCGGCCGCCCGGCTCAGTCCTCCTTCTCGCGGGTCCACTTGATCATGGTCTCGGGCGAGCGGTAAAGGAAGATGAGCTTGGCGTAGAGGTCCTCCTCCAGCTGCAGCTCGCCCGTCTCGCGCACCAGGAAGATGTCGGTGCACAGCTTGAGTGCGCGGTCCACGTTGGGCAGCTCCTCGAACATGATGGAGTGCGAGATGCCGCTGAAGAACTCGCGCACGAACTTGCCCACGACCAGCACCACGGAGGCGTACAGGCCCACGATGCTACGGGGGGTTGGGTGAGCCGTCGTCGCCGGAAGGGGTGAGGAGTCGTGAAACATATACGGGGGGTTGGGTGAGCCGTCGTCGCCGGAAGGGGTGAGGAGTCGTGAAACATATACGGGGGGTTGGGTGAGCCGTCGTCGCCGGAAGGGGTGAGGAGTCGTGAAACATATACGGGGGGTTGGGTGAGCCGTCGTCGCCGGAAGGGGTGAGGAGTCGTGAAACATATACGGGGGGTTGGGTGAGCCGTCGTCGCCGGAAGGGGTGAGGAGTCGTGAACATATACGGGGGGTTGGGTGAGCCGTCGTCGCCGGAAGGGGTGAGGAGTCCGTGAAACATATACGGGGGGTTGGGTGAGCCGTCGTCGCCGGAAGGGGTGAGGAGTCGTGAAACATATACGGGGGGTTGGGTGAGCCGTCGTCGCCGGAAGGGGTGAGGAGTCGTGAAACATATACGGGGGGTTGGGTGAGCCGTCGTCGCCGGAAGGGGTGAGGAGTCGTGAAACATATACGGGGGGTTGGGTGAGCCGTCGTCGCCGAAGGGGTGAGGAGTCGTGAAACATATACGGGGGGTTGGGTGAGCCTCGTCGCCGGAAGGGGTAGGTCGTGAAACATATACGGGGGTTGGGTGAGCCGTCGTCGCCGGAAGGGGTGAGGAGTCGTGAAACATATACGGGGGGTTGGGTGAGCCGTCGTCGCCGGAAGGGGTGAGGAGTCGTGAAACATATACGGGGGGTTGGGTGAGCCGTCGTCGCCGGAAGGGGTGAGGAGTCGTGAAACATATACGGGGGGTTGGGTGAGCCGTCGTCGCCGGAAGGGGTGAGGAGTCGTGAAACATATACGGGGGGTTGGGTGAGCCGTCGTCGCCGGAAGGGGTGAGGAGTCGTGAAACATATACGGGGGGTTGGGTGAGCCGTCGTCGCCGGAAGGGGTGAGGAGTCGTGAAACATATACGGGGGGTTGGGTGAGCCGTCGTCGCCGGAAGGGGTGAGGAGTCGTGAAACATATACGGGGGGTTGGGTGAGCCGTCGTCGCCGGAAGGGGTGAGGAGTCGTGAAACATATACGGGGGGTTGGGTGAGCCGTCGTCGCCGGAAGGGGTGAGGAGTCGTGAAACATATACGGGGGGTTGGGTGAGCCGTCGTCGCCGGAAGGGGTGGAGGAGTCGTGAAACATATACGGGGGGTTGGGTGAGCCGTCGTCGCCGGAAGGGGTGAGGAGGTCGTGAAACATATACGGGGGGTTGGGTGAGCCGTCGTCGCCGGAAGGGGTGAGGAGTCGTGAAACATATACGGGGGGTTGGGTGAGCCGTAGCGTCGCCGGAAGGGGTGAGGGGTCGTGAAACAGATACGAGGGGGTTGGGTGAGCCGTCGTCGCCGGAAGGGGTGAGGAGTCGTGAAACATATACGGTGGGGTTGGGTGAGCCGTACGTCGCCGGAAGGGGTGAGGAGTCGTGAAACATATACGGGGGGTTGGGTGAGCCGTCGTCGCCGGAAGGGGTGAGGAGTCGTGAAACATATACGGGGGTTGGGTGAGCCGTCGTCGCCGGAAGGGGTGGAGGAGTCGTGAAACATATACGGGGGGTTTGGGTGAGCCGTCGTCGCCGGAAGGGGTGAGGAGTCGTGAAACATATACGGGGGGTTGGGTGAGCCGTCGTCGCCGGAAGGGGTGAGGAGTCGTGAAACATATACGGGGGGTTGGGTGAGCCGTCGTCGCCGGAAGGGGTGAGGAGTCGTGAAACATATACGGGGGGGGGGGGGGGGGGAGCAGCGGAGGGGGGGAAACAAAGGTTGAGGTAAGGGGTCAGGTGAGAGGCTGAGCCGTGTATGTGATGACATAGGCGTGGTACGGTCATCTCTCAGAGGTGAATAGATTCATGAGATGGAATCTTTACTACTTCATTTGCTTCTTAAGAAAAGCATTTCCTGTAACATTCGCCCACTGTATATTTTCTGTTATCAGGCAGCAGCCTCAACGATTAAGAGGACTTTGCACTTAGGTTAAGCCCAGTGATCCCAGACGGTGACAGACAGTAGCAGACACTCCGACTCCATACTTGTGAGCTCCGTTCCGTGCCGGAAGCCCAGCAACTAAGCACCCATATCATGCATCACGTGACTTCTCTGCCTCAATTACATTTTTATTCAAGCTTTTCTCACTTTTTCTCAGAGGGAAATGCTATATCCTGCTTAGACAAACATAAAGAAAGTTATTGAGATCATTTAATTTTGTCTAATCAGAGCCCGGTCTGTTGGTGCCTGTGTACAGCGGCCGTGACCCGCAAGTAGCAAGGCTTGCGAGTCACAAACGCCGGTGAAGGGGTCAAACCAGAGCCCTCCGTCCCACTGTGGGACTTCAACAGATAGTGGCCTCCCGCCATCAACAGCTCGCCCCGCGAGCAGCGCCGGCGCGCGGCGCAAGCGGTGCCGAGGAGCAGACGCCGGCGCCTCCTTCGTACCCGTAGCCCGCCAGGAAGCCCAGGCTGGGAGGGCTGACGCGGTCGCTGAACACGATGATGCGGATGTCGTCGCAGCGCCTGCCGGGGCAGTCGCTGCGCAGCTGCCGCAGGCTCCACCACTCGGCGTGGCTGCCGCCCGCCGGGCCGCCCTGCCTCAGCACCAGCTCCACGTCGGAGTAGCTGCGCTCGCCCTCTGGGCGGGGTGGAGGGATGGGGGTGGCGGAACGCCGTGGGATGTATGACAACGGCTCCAGCGAGAGCGGGGAGGTTTCTCGGCCTCGTGGCTTTCACTTAACTTAGGAAAACACGACTTGTTGCTTAATTCCACCGAGCCAAGTGCCTGCGGCTATGATTGGATGATTGTCTCATCGCAGAGGCGCCACGGTGGCAAGATGTTAACTACCTCGCCTGGTATGCAGGAGGTTGTGGGTTCTCCCCAGACTGATGCCTGCTGCTGTATATTTGGAGTCTGCGTCTCTCTCTTATCATCATCACGGTGGCTAGATGTTAACTACCTCGCCTGGTATGCAGGAGGTCGTGGGTTCCTCCCCAGACTGATGCCTGCTGCTGTATATTTGGAGTTTATATGTTCTCCCTGAGTCCTCCGTTTTTTTTCCTCCACATTTAGAAACGTGTATTTAGAGTATTTGGCTGCTATACATTTTTTTGGTTGGCTTGGCAGCAAGGCTTCTGATCGTATTGGATGATGAAGTCACAAATATTTCCCTGGTGCATACAAACCGTGGTGCAAGCAGGGTGGTTTTGATGGCCAGTTTTTTTTAAATGACAAATTGCCGAAGGCTGCCATGCGACAGTCCTTCATGAGAGATGCAGGACAGGTAGTGGGGGGTCCAGGTGTGAGGCCTGGGCACGAGGGCTCGTGGGAGTCACCTGGCAGCATCTGTCGCACGGGTGTTGAGTCCGGGCCACCGGGCGCTTTCAGGTACGGAGGGAAAAGGTTCTTGATCAGCCTGCACACACACGAAGCAAACAAAGACAAAGATTCCCCACATAGCCTTTAACAGACTGTTAGGGCAAGTGCTGTTAGCGAGTATCTATGAATGCCAGCACGGCACACGAGGGGGTGGGTGCCCAACACCACGCCTGACCACCTTTGTATCCCCAGTGGGGATGATTATACACCACACAAGGTGCTCATTTGAGGTCCAGGACCTATTCAAATAATCGTCACCGATGTTGGCCGTGAGCGAGAATGGAACTCGGGCTGCCGGGTTTGTAGCACAGCGTAGCGCTGAGTGTGAACCACGTGTCCAATGCACTGGCACACACACACTTATACTTGACTGTTTGTGATTCACTTAGGCAAACATTATTGCTGATACATGTTTGTTTATTTACCTTTTAAGAAATATCGGTTTAAAGCTTAAAGGGTTAAGGTCTTTAAGGCAATAAAACAGTTGTGTTAAAATGTTAACACACCAAACAGAAACCTTTTGCAAGAAATCCTGTCTGCATTAACCACAGATACTTGTGAACATGCAAACAAAAACACGCTCTGGTAGTATAAGATGCATTGTCTTTGAAACTGATTGGTCCCCACCAGAGACAGCTTTCTTTAGAGCCTTGTCTCAAAGTGTTAGACCAGAGAATGCCAAAAAGGGACCAGCACAAAGACAATGCCACCATCAGGGCATTTATATCTCAGGTGAGGTTTTATTTGAAATGTAATATCAATGCCACTCAAGGGGGTATAAAAAGATTGTACAAACAAATTTAAAGATTAAAAATAATGTAAAATACCGAATGCCAAAAATACACTCAAAGGGAAGCAATTATGAAGTAGTGAGTCTTATATTCCCTCGTGAACACACGGAGACTCGGAGCACACTGAACTGCAGGTATCCAGTAGCGATTATAGGGGTCGAGAGGAGGTGGGAAGGGAGGATAGACGATGGAATGGTAGAATGATGGTGGTGATGCTGAGGTGGAGCGGGAGCGTAGTGTGAAAGGAGGTTGATGTGCAGTAGAGGGAGGAAAGTACATGAACTCCTCTACTTACGAACATTCGACTTACAAACTTTCAGAGATAGGAACAAACCTGTCCGTATGTCCGATTGCCAGTTCGGACCGAGAGTCGTAAGTTCAACAGCCGCGCAAACGATGGCGGTGGTTGTTCGGTGTCATTACCCAGAATTCCCAACATTCCTGCCTGGGCCACCACAATTGTCTGTTGTTGTGTTGTTGCTGTGCGGTTCACTACGACGTTCTCTCTGATTTTCACAAACATTATCAACCCCCATCATGTCTCAGAACCAGTGGCATCTACATCTACAGAACGTGAAGAACCAGTGCCATCTATATCTACAGAACGTGAAGAACCAGTGGCATCTATATCTACAGAACGTGAAGAACCAGTGGCATCTACATCTACAGAACATGAAGAATCAGTGGCATCTACATCTGCAGAACATGAATATGAAGAACCAGTGGCATCTACATCTGCAGAACATGAAGATGAGAACCAGTGGCATCTACATCTGCAGAACATGAAGATGAAGAACCAATGGCATCTACATCTGCAGAACATGAACCAGTGAGTAGTTCCGGGTGCAGAATGAATGGTGCAGGGTGCAGGCCATACACAGCGCTGTGCGTGTTGCTGTCCTGCAGCATGGCAGCGATCTGTGCGCGTGCCGGGTGAGTGGCGTTCATCTCAATGGTGTGCTTCTCGCGCGACACCTCCGACTTCCCCCCCATCTTCGGGTCACTGCGGACAAATGGGGACACGGGCGAGATGCGGGGACACGGACATCCAACCGTATCACGGGCGCACGCTTCAGTTCGTCGATTAAAATGCCGTTTGCCGCTCGGCTTGGCATGGTGAGGCGAGGCGTGGTACGGTCGAGTGTGGTCGGTGAGCCACGGTGTAGTATAGCATGCTAAGGTATGGTGCCACGGGTATGGCATGATTTGGCATGTCATGGTTCGGTGTGGTATGGCCGGGAAGAGTGCAATGATACAGCGACGTGCAGCGAAGCATATTACGTACGTATGTTTAACTTCTTTCGCACCAAACGTAACCAACCGCGCTATTTCGAGGTGCTATTCGGAGGTGCGTTAGAGCGCATGCGGTGTGATGGGCACGGGGTGCCTTGGCACGGTCAAGTGTGGCTTGGCGTGGCACGGCAGGGCCTGAGGCAGTGACGTGCGGAGTGAGGGGCGCGCGATGATGGCGCGGCGTGTGGAGTGCCCACCGCTGTATTTTCCAGTAGAAGCGCAAGGTGATGCCGGACGCGTTGCTAAGCAGTTCCTGGATGAGTTTGTTGCGGCTGGGGGGGCTGATCCCCCACACGGCCGTCGAGTTCCCGGCCAGTCGCGCCGTCGTGATGTCCTCTGCCGAGTAGACGGTGATGAACTGCATCGCCGACTGCGCCGGGTAAACCACGCCGCAGTTAGAGCGCTCACCTCACGCTCGGGACGCAGGTTCACATCCGCCCGGCCCATCGTCCCTTCGGGGGCTTTATAGAGTATGAATTTATGGATAGACATCACCATCGTCATCGGTTTCATATTAATAACGCACCTCCTGTGCAGTAGATCTCAAGGCGCCGTGCCACAGAGGACCCCCAGCGGCAGCTGTCCCTACGTAGCACAAAGTGAAGGCGGCACTGGCCGGCAAGTGCGCATTAGCCTGCTAGCAGGGGACGATGTGTTTCTGCGTGGATTCCCGATTTAGTAATTTACAAGTATTGATAAAATTTTGACCAACACAGGCTATATAATGTCACGGGATCATTAACGTACGCTGTGCAGCAGACGGCGCGAGTGTGATGGTGAACACACAGGCCGCAGTATTAACCAGGGAGGCCGCAGTATTAACCAGGGAGGCCTCGGGGCTCAACCGCGAACCTCTGCAACGAGCGGCAAAATGCACTCGAGGTCGGCCACGCCATTGGCTCACAGCAGTGGTCATGCCATGGATGGACCGATCCCCACGAGGGAATGTGGAATTTCCGCCACTGGATCGGGACCAAACCGGGAGGCGAGTGCTGCCTGGTTGCTCGTTTCTAGAGGGAGACACTTGGACGACATCCTCGAGGGGCAGCTGGCAAACTTATGGGCACAATGGCCACGTGAAAGCCATTAAAGCAGCACCTCTGATAATCTGGGTTTGAATCCTAGACGGGGCCTGCACGATGAGGCCCGCAGGGAGAGGCTGGGTGTGCCCTACCGCTTGGTTTCCGAATGTGTTGGTGAGTTTCTTGTATTCCGTCTCGGAGAAGCGAACCAGGGACTGCTGCTGGGCACTCATCATGTACAGCGGCTGTGAGAGAGACACAGAGCGACGCAGAGAGAGATGTGGGCACTCATCATGTACAGCGGCTGTGAGATACAGCGACTGTGAGATGCAGACAGAGACACGGGAAGTGTGGGAAGCAGGGGGCACATTTTACATTTATTCAAAAACTTATAAAGGGGAAAGATGACCCTTTAACATGGTAGTTTCAGCGACAGGCATTACGAATCACATTGTGTGTCCCGATGATCCTACAATACAAATAATCATCATAATGCAAAGTGATGTTACGTTCAAACGTATATCCAGCAAACTAAGTATAACATACCGTTTTTATGTGTGTATGTTGAACTGCTTTCGCACCAATCTCACTAATCGGAGGTGCGGTGTACAGTAAACAAAAAGCCTCTCATGTCGCTGGTTATCGCAGTTACCGCCACAGCGGCGTTCCAAGAGGTCGCAGGTTCTACCTGCCGGCGGGGCCATTGAAACGTTGCGGATTTCTGAACCCCCCCCCCACCCACCTCTGTCCACCGAGCAGTGCTACTGGGTCCACCACAGTGAGTGCATCTGCAGGTCGCGTGCGGTGGGGTAAAGTGTGGGTGTGTTCCCATCGCTTTTGAGACGTCCGGCCAATGTGAAAAATGATCGGACAAAATACGGCCTTCCGGAGCTCCCTCGAGAGTGGGAGGGCCTTCTGCCAGCGTGGCGCGAGTGAGCCACTGGGAGCTGTGCACTTTTAAATCATCACAGAGATTTAAAACTAATTTCTGTAAAACTGATTTTCGTGTTTAGTTTGTTGTCCTTGCCCCGCAACTCGGATTAGCGCGGTTTGCGAAATACGGTGCGTGAAAGAAGTTCAACATACACACCCACATACATGCGAGAATTAACAGGGCTGCATCTTAAACCTTGACATTGACGGCGTCGCGAACGCAAACCACCCCCCCCCCCATGCCGTCAGGCGGCCACCGCCCCCTCCCCCGCACCCAACTCCACCTCGTATCCGCCGAGAGAGAGCGACACGGAGACGTCGATGGGCGGGTTCACGACCCCGGCCACCGACTTGACGAGCGACATGAAGAGCAGCGGGAACCACACGATGCAGATGAGCAGGAAGACCATCATGCCGCCCATGCCGTACTTCACCATCTTCTTCTTCTTTTGCCCGCGCGGCTGGGGGTACCTCTGCGAGCCCGGGGGGTAAAGAGCAGAGCGGAGCGTGCACGGCAGGGCTCGCACCAATGGCCACATCCGAGCGCGCACGAAACATTTTGATCGGTTCACGTTCCTTTAATTACTATAATTTTGAATTGTTTTGTTTCACACAAATGTCAGATAGAAGAGTAAATTCCGTGTTTTGTACTTAGTCTGTTGTCCTTCCCCCCAGTGCGAAAGAAGTTCAACATACGCACAGTATGTGCGGAACTCTCACAGATAGCAGTGTGACATCACATCATGCCTGATGACAGCCCCTGCAACACGATGCCATAGAACTTGCTCGAGTGCCTTCAGCGGGCACCTGATCCACATTAAGTGGTGGAACTTTCTTTGTCAACCCCGCAAGGAGTGTCTGCCACGTGGCCACTCCGAACTAAGGATATATAACCGCAATATGCCAACGAGGGCCAAACAACGACTTGTGACTGGGACGGATATTTTGGGCAGTCATTGGCGACCGGGGCGAGGCCGTGGACCGGAGGGGCCGCTGCGATCGCGTGTGGCTCAATCCCCTGACATCAGCACGGGGCTCGCTATACCCTATCGTAACAAAGATCAGACTTTCCCAGTCTAAAAGTCCATTTTCCATTCTGCATTATGTTTCATCTGCCACCAAAAGAGTTGCATCAGTACTGCAATATTTACAATGTTATACAATGTTGAGGAAATACATATTTTAATCAACGAAAGTAACGTCCAACAATGGAAGAGCGAGGGGTGGCCCCTCCCCCCGACCCTGTACCGCGAACGGTGGACCGGCCGATGTAATCGGCGACCCTTGGCCACGTCACGACTAGCCGCTGGCGGGGCCAAGCGAGCCCATTCCGCACGACCCCTGCACGGCCACGGTGCGCTGCGCCCCACCTTCTCGGACTCGCGCCAGCACTTGAGAATGAAGGTGTTGGCATAGATGTCCTCGATGCAGATCCAGCTGGAGAGGCTGAGCGTGGTGTCCGTCCACACCCAGTCCATGATAGCGCGCAGCTCGATCAGGAAGGGTACCAGACGGAACCTGCTCACGTACGCACGAGGGAGCGGGCGGGGGAGCGCGTCGACGCTTCCTCCGTGGGTTGCCGCCATCGCGCTGTGCGGCTCTCCGACGCGCGTTGTGGGATCGGGCGGCGCGTCGTTCAGAACGATGTCCGACATTTCGCTTCTACGCGCCCAGGAGCCTCTCCAACAACCGGAATGAAGAAGCTCCCGGCGCGTGGAGAAAAACCGCACGTGACATCGTGCCGAACGGCGCGGCGTACGAGCTGATTGAGGATTTTTACGTCTAGATTGAAAACTAATTTCTTACAAACTACTTTTTATGTTTAGTTTATTGTCATTTCCCCGTACCTCCGATTAGCAGGCTTGGCTACGTACGGTGTGAAAGAAGTTCAACGTACGTACATACACCGGGGAGCCAACGTTGATGCTCCCCACTTCCCTCCAGCATCTGTTAGATTGTTTCCTAATCCAGAAAGGCCATAAGTATTATAAAGTATGGGGGGGATGATGTTGTTATTGCTTTGGGGTTTAGTGATAAGACATTTGCACCGGGGTGGTAAAATTATTTAAGCAATAAATGTGGCTATCACCTGCAAGGAGGTTCTTTGGTTCCAAAAATATCCAAGCCCTGCCCCCACTGCAGGCCGTACCAACGAACAAAACGTTTACCTAGGCCATGGTCTCACTGGGACGTGGCCTCACGGGGTCGTGGCCTCACGGGGTCGTGGCCTCACGGGGTCGTGGCCTCACGGGGTCGTGGCCTCACGGGGTCGTGGCCTCACGGGGTCGTGGCCTCACGGGGTCGTGGCCTCACGGGGTCGTGGCCTCACGGGGTCGTGGCCTCACGGGGTCGTGGCCTTACGGGGCCGTGGCCTTACGGGGTCGTGGCCTCACGGGGTCGTGGCCTCACGGGGTCGCCGCGCTCGACTGGTGGCTAGACGGCTTGTGTTAGTAGGGTCAAGTGCTGCCATTCAACGCCAGGCTCAGGGTTGAGGGCTTATTGTGTCGATGAGGATTAAGGAGACCGGTGAACAGTTAGGTAACAGAAAAAATATAGAGGTGGACCCCTGCAATTCCTTGCTCAAGCCATGGCTGGCTGAAGGAACTCCACCAGAGGGAGCTCTAGAGAGCCACTCAAGAAGTTATTTGGTCTACTCTTACACGCTGCTCAGGCATTTTGTAAGAGGTGGAAGTTCCTAAAGTTCTTCCCCGCTCCTACTTGACATCTGCGAAAAAGAGCTTTACAGCTCCTCGGATTCCTTCTGCAGTATAAATACTGATTATGATTACACCACCACATGGAACCTGGGGAACCTACTCACACTGCTGGGTAGACAGAGACAGTGGTGGGGGGAGGGGGGGGCGGTGGATTTAAGAAACTTGCTCCGATGTTTCAACTCCCACGTCAGGAGACCAAACCGGTGACCTCCACATTGCCGGCGCGCTGACCATCACGCCACGGCAGCATCCCGGTGAAAAGGCATGAGGTTGTTGGATGCTACGTCGAACCGAGTCGAGTTCTCAAATTTAGTACAAAGAGTTTGGCCTAGGGCCAGACTTCCTCGGGGTGGTCAAGGGACGTGGAGGGTAGCTGGGCGCTGGGAGGCAGTGATTGAAGCGCTCACCCCTGGAACAGAAAGAGGTTCATGTAGTTGTATTTCTTGGTGAGGAAGTTGCCCAGGATGCGGGTCGGGTAGCCGCAGCGGATCTGGTAGGCGGACAGCCCGAAGTACACGCACTTCACAAAGTACCACAGCTGGGCCACTGTGTTCAGGTTGAACTTCCTGCATGCCAGATGCGCAAACAAAACACAAAGACAAAAGCAAAGATCCCCCCCCCCATTTTGCCGTATGGACCGTCGGGACATGCGCTATTAGCCAAGACCTACTGTAGCCGGGTACCAGTGGCCACACTGCACGTGGCAGCAGCAAGGGTTGGTGGATCACGCACAGATGTCGTGAAACTCCCCTTCTCGTCGCGAGAATGTGGTACGGCTAAAACGTGAACTCCACCTGTTCTGTCTGCATGGGATACAGTGTTGCCAACTCGCTCGCCTGGGTTTTATTTGGGTGCTCCGGTTTCCTCCCACGTGTGAACACCCATGAATTGGTCGATAACGCATTCATACGTAGAGGACTGCACAGCTTCGGGGGGGGGGGGGGGAGAGGGGCATTTGGTTCCTCCTCGTGCCTCCGAGTCGCTCTCTCTCCGAGAGGGAGCGGATTACGTGCTAACTCTTACAAGCTGAAATCACTGCTATTATTGTTGTATAAGACTGGCATGGAACGCGAGGGTGTGTTTGGGCCAACACCGCACTCTCCAACCTTTGTCTCCCCAGTGCAGATTATTTTTTAATATATGGCACCAGGTACTTGTTTTAAGACTGAGTTGATCTAGAGGAGGCCCAGGACCAGTCCAGATAATTGCCTCTGTTGTTCGCCGTGGTCAGGATGAATTGAACTCCGGTTGCTGGATTTGTCACGTGGTGTGCTAACCACTATGTCTGTCCATTTCTACACAGAAAAACCCACAGAGTTGTACAAAAGTGAACAAGGCCCGGAGTTGGGCCCGTACTTGAAAATTGTTACGCAAGGATGTTACGCTGCCTAGAGAACCTGCACACAGAGTTAATATGCGAGCCAAGGGCAATTGCGTTCAGGGTTTTGAGTATTGTGGAGCGCTAATTTAAAGGCTGTTGTGCAATGTTTAAAGGTTGACAATTGTTGTATCGGGTTAAGAGTTATCTTGTGAAAGAGGTTCAAGGTTGAGGGGTGCTGTTATGTACAGATGTCACAGGTTGAAATAACAACTAATCTAATCTGTTGACAGGGGTGCACAAAGACAAAGATCCCCCGTGTTGCCTACACAGACTGTAGAGGCAAGTGCTGTGAGCGAGCACTGATTAAGGCTGACATGGGGGGGGGGGGGGGGTTGCCAGCACCACGCCCGGCTGTCTATGCCTCCGCTATGCTAATGTTTACAGCCCGCACCAGGTACCCATTTAAGGCTGAATCGACATAGGGGTGACCCAGAACCGGTTGTGATATTCGTTGCTCGCATTAGCCGTAAGTGTGACTTGAACTCAGGCCGCAGGGTCCGAAGCGCAGCGCGCCAGCCACAGACACAACACGCACAGCACTCGCCGCCCACCTTGGTGATTAGCGACTGCCCTGACACAGCAACAATGTGCAGGGGGGGGGTAACGGGTTCAGGAAACAGCTGCCGTAAGGAACGGCAACATACTCGAAGAGTTGGCCAACTGCACATTTGTGAACTATGAACTAGCTGATGAAGAATTACTGGTGAAGAGTTGCTGATGAAGAGTTGCTGATGAAGAGTTGCTGATGATGCTCGGAGAGCCTGAGTCGTTGCGTCGCAATCATTTCAATGTTTGCCGATCCTCGTGTGGGGGTAGGGGCTGGGGCTGGGGTAGACATGAGGATACGGCTCAAGGATGTGGGGCTGTTGTCCATGAGTGAAAGGCATTCAAACGAACTCCACACTGTTGTGGCCGCTGTGTAGAGTTCACGAACACGTCCGTTGTGTAGCGCGAGTCCCGGGGTTGCAGGAGGAGGGATGGACTCGGGATCACAGGGCTTAAGGTCGCCACTTGTGTGCTGCTTTTGCCAGGATCTTCTGCGACTCGAGGCGGCTGTCCTGGTCATCCTCGAAGTCTTTCCAGGACACGAAGAGCCTCGGGTTGCGTAATAATCCACCGCTCAAGGCAAGGCGTTTACGCCGCGTAGCTGTCCCACTTCCAGTAGTCGGAGGCATTCCCCTTTAATTTGTTTTAACCTCAGGGGTAGCGACCCCATTGAGGATCGAGGTTTTGGTTGTTGTGGTGGTGGTGGAAGTGGTGGTGGGGGTTCCAACTTGGCACAGTAGGGGGCACCGGTGGTGTGTCCACCAATCATCTCAGTCAATCCATGGCACCTTGGTCTGCCAGCGAGCCTTTCACACTTCACGTGGCATCAGCGTGCACCTGGCCTGGCACATGATGGGTAATATTGGTGGTGGTGGTGGAAGAAGTGGTGGTGGTTGTGGAGGAGGAGGTGGTGATGGTAGTGGAGGCAGTGGTGGAGGTAGTGGTGGAGGTGGTGGAGATAGTGGTGGTAGTGGTGGAGGTAGTGGTGAAGGTGGTGGAGGTAGTGGTAGTGGTGGTAGTGGTGGAGAAAGTGGTGGTGGTAGTGGTGGAGGTAGTGGTAGTGGTGGAGGTAGTGGTGGTAGTGGTGGAGGTCGTAGTGGTGGTAGTAGTGGTAGAGGTAGTGGTGGAGGTAGTGGTGGTGGTAGCGGTGGAGGTAGTGGTGGTGGTAGCGGTGGAGGTTGTAGTGGTTGGTTAGCGGTGGAGGTAGTGGTGGAGGTAGTGGTGGAGGTAGTGGTGGTGGTAGTGGTGGTGGTGGCGGTAGTCGTGTTGGTAGTAGTCCGGAAAAACCAACCCCCTACCTCCTCGTGGTGCCGGGCGGCAACGCTGTGGTGGGCAGTGCCGTGGGGGGAGGGCCAATTTAAATTGGACTTTCCCCTCATTGCGTTTGTAACCACCACAGCAGCCAACATCATGGATGCATGCCGGGTCCAAGCAAGAACATCTGCTGGACTACATAATGAAAGAACAGCAGATGCGGGCCCATGTCCTTGACACCAGGACCTACCGTGGAGCTGATCTGCCCACTGACCATCGACTTGTCATCTGTAAGATGCACCTGCCATTCTTCCACTCCGGTGGTGGATGTACACCCAGGACCCCATTCAAACCCTTAGTGGTATGGTCTCAACTAGCTGATGAAAGTTGCAAGCGAAAATGTAATCATCGCTGGGGTTGGCATCGTCCCCCCCTCCTCCTGATGTCGAGGGGAAATGGGCGAGGTTTAGGACTGTGGCTCATGCAGCTGCAATGGCTGCTTTGGGTACACGGTCCAGACCTCCCTAGAAACACTGGCTGACAGAGGAGGTGTTCAAGCTGGGAAAAAGCGACAGGCCCCCTCTCATCGGCTACAGCATCCCACGTTGGAGAATGAGGAGGCTTACCACAGCCTTCGCTCAGAGGTTCGGAGAGCCGTGAAGTGCTGCAAGGATGGGTGGTGGTCACGTGTTGCTGAGGAGATAGTCTGCCTCAATCGCCCGCGATCACAAATCGCTCTTTAATTCCATCAAAAAAGTAACCTGCAGCACCACACCTATTACCATCATTAGGGGAAAAAATGGTGATCCAATCTCCGACCCCCAGGAACAAGTTTGCAGATTTGCTGAGCATTTCTGTGAGGTCCTGGGGGAGGGGAAATCCCTCAGCCCGGAAAACAACGTGGGACAAAGTGGGGATGACCCTGCCGAGGCTGCTGTGCCTCAATTATTGAAATAAGAAGTCACCCCCTGTGAGTGGCTGGCTGAGGTGCCATCTGTAGAGGAAGTACTGAATGTGATCCAGAGCCTGAGACTAGGAAAGGCACCGGGTAGAGATGATCTCCCAAGCAAAATGCTGAGAGAGGGCGGCGTTTGCGCACAGACTGCCCTACATGACATCATAACAGTCTGGACCACTGGACGGGTTCCGCAGGATTGGAAGGATGCCCTGATGGTCCCCCTCTTTAAGAAGGGGAACCGCACAGGGGCATCTCACTCCTCAGTGTGCCGGGAAAGGTCCTGGCAAGGATTATTCAACATCGGCTTGCTAGGCACGCTGACGAGAGGCTTGCGGAGCCACAATGCGGTTTCAGGTAAGGGCGGTCCTGCACAGATGCCATATTTTCTGTCCATCTGGTACAGCAGAGGTGTAGGGAATTCCAACAAGACCTACATCTCTGCTTTATTGACCTGGTCAAGGCCTATGATACCATCAGTAGGCCTGGGCTCTGGGTTGTTATTGGTGCTTCGGAGTCCCTGACCCTCTGCTCACGATCATTAAAGACCTTCATTATGGTGAGCGGGCCCCGGTAAAACTACGTGGCCAGGAGTCGGAGCCATTCCATGTTCACCTTGGAGTCCGACAGGGATGTCCCCTGGCTCCCACATTATTTAACATCTATTTCAACCACGTAGTTCGTGAAGCCTTCAATAGCTGTAGTGGAGGAATTTACATCTGGTACAGATACAATGGGAGGCTGATCGATGCCTGGGTGCGGTCAAGGGATGGCTTCCTATTGCTCAAACATGTTATGTATGCCGATGATCTGGTAATTGCTGCTCACTCAGAGGAGGAGTTAGAGGTGCTGCTGCTGAACCTGGAGCTTGCCACTAAGAGGTGGGGACTTACCATCAGCTCCACCAAAACTAAGCACCTGCCTGGGTATTTTGTACCATCGGACACTCCACTCCCACAACTCCCAATTGGTGATAGGGCAGTTGTGGAGAGAGTGGAGAGTTTCCCATACCTGGGCAGTGTACTCATGACCGGCTCTGGTTTAACAGCAGAAGTCTCACTCCGAAACAGTCGAGTGGCATTATCTTTTCATCAGTTGCGTAACGCTGTGTGGAAGCTACCTAGTCTGTCGCTCCGCACGAAGCTTCAGGCCTTCTCAGCCACAGTCATTCCCTCCCTTCTCTACACTTCCGAAACGTGGATCACCCTAATGGAACATCTTCGCCGGTTATAAACATTTAGGCTGGCCTGCCTACGATCCATCCTGGGTTTAACCAAGCTGGATTGTGTGAGGAGCTCACAAATCCTTGAAAGATTTGGACAAAGTCCCATCGGTGAGCTCCTCCGGCAGGCAAGGCTGCACTGGCTGGGCCATGTAGCCCGCATGCCCAGCCACCACATGCCTAAACAGCTTTTGTTTGGCTGGATCGAGGGGGCTAAACGGGCACGGCACGGGCTAGAGAAGAGATGGAGCGATGTGGTACAGGAGGATGTGGAGCTGAGTGTACTTGCCGATGACTGGTACCAGCGGTGTCAAGATCGGCCTCTGTGGAGGAGGCTCGTGAAGGACGCTACTGGGCAGTTGGAGGCAGTCGCCCTCCAACAACAATGGAGAGCGGGGAGCGATGCTCACAACAACCTGCCAGCGGGCGTTCGACACTTCACGTGGCCTCAAGGTGCACATGGCCTGGCACAAGCGTCGTGGTGACGTCACCGCCACTTAGTGGCGAATGGCGGTTGTTGTTGTTGTTGGTAGTGGTGGTGGTAGTGGTGGTGGAAGCGGTGGTGGTAGTGGTGGTAGTGGTGGTGGTGGTAGTGGTGGTGGTGGTAGTGGTGGTAGCGGTGGTGGTAGTGGTGGTAGTGGTGGTGGTAGTGGTGGTAGTGGTGGTGATAGCGGTGGTGGTAGTGGTGGTAGTGGTGGTGGTAGTGGTGGTGGTAGCGGTGGTGGTAGTAGTGGTAGCAGTGGTGGTAGTGGTGGTGGTAGTGGTGGTAGTGGTGGTGGTAGTGGTGGTGGTAGTGGTGGTGCTAGTGGTGGTAGTGGTGGTGGTAGTGGTGGTGGAAGCGGTGGTGGTAGTGGTGGTAGTGGTGGTGGTGGTAGTGGTGGTAGCGGTGGTGGTAGTGGTGGTAGTGGTGGTGGTAGTGGTGGTGGTAGTGGTGGTGATAGCGGTGGTGGTAGTGGTGGTAGTGGTGGTGGTAGTGGTGGTGGTAGCGGTGGTGGTAGTGGTGGTAGCAGTGGTGGTAGTGGTGGTGGTAGTGGTGGTAGTGGTGGTGGTAGTGGTGGTAGTGGTGGTGGTAGTGGTGGTGGTAGTGGTGGTGATATAGTGGTGGTGGTGGTAGTGGTGGTGGTAGTGGTGGTGATAGCGGTGGTGGTAGTGGTGGTGGTAGTGGTGGTAGCGGTGGTGGTAGTAGTGGTGCGAGGCACTGGGAGCCGCCGCCGCTGCCGCACCTTTCGGTGACACCGGGCAGGATGTAGAACATCCAGAAGTGGATGCCGAACACGAGCACGACCTGGAAGATGACCTTGCCGAGCACGGTCTTGCGCAGGTAGAGCGCGCGGTCCACCACCATGGTGCTGAACTGCAGCAGCAGCATGACGAGGAAGGCCTGGGGCACTTGGTCCTCGGACAGCGAGGACGCGATGTCCGCAGCCGCCGAGTGTTTCTGGGGATGGAAGTCAGACCGCCGATACTCACTCGCCAATACCGATACCGACAGCCGCCATTCGTCGCTAAGTGGCGGTGATGTCACCACGGCGCCTGGGCCAGGCCAAGTGCACTTTGGGGCCACGTTAAAGTGTCGAAGGCTCGCTGACAGGAGGTCACGGGGACAGACCCAGCAGGTGCCATGGGCTGACTGACCAGGATGACTGGTAGACGCAGTTCCATCGTTCCCTCCATTGTATTTGCTTCACTCTCAAGTAAAATGTTATTTGATTGACGTAGTTTCGATATTCGTCACTGCACCTTCAAGGAACGCATCCCCGGCCTAACCCGGGATTATTTCTGGACCTCTTGTAGTCCCACAATCCACAGAGAGCACACCACGGTCTCGAGTTGGCTTACTCTGAGAGGACTGAGGGGTTTAGTGGCGGTGCAGGAGTTAGGGCACTGCGTGCTACGAACCCTGGCAACCCGAGTTCGATTCCCGGCCACGGCTAACATCGGTGGTGAGAAATATCTGAATCGATCTTGGGCACTTTCTTCAACAGCCCAGCACTGACCAGTTGAGGTGAAGTATGGTCAAACAACCCTCAGCCGTTAATTGACAAAGAGCTGTCCGCCATCATTAGCCGGGTTAAGGGTGGCGCACGCCTGCAGCCCAGCACGAACGGACGCGAGAGTTGGCGGATCGCCACAAATGTTGCAAAACTCCTTTCCCCGTGGGAGACGAGGCGGTACAGCAGAACTGTGGCTCCCCACGAGGCCGCCCTTCCCTCCGACCTGTCGCTCCTCTCACCTCCGAGTCGCTCGCTCTACGAGAACGAAGAGCGAATACTGTGCGCTATGCCAGGTTACAAGTTGATGTTATTACTTTTGTTGCCACTATTCACGAGCGGAGAGGGGTTTACATTCACGGTTTAACACGAAACACCCACCCCCACCCCCCCAACACGCGCCACGCTGGTCCCGGTTCATCACGCGAACTCCGCGCCAGCAAGTGTCGCGGTGCGCAGAGGAGTGGGATGCGGACCCCGAACGCCCAGTATCCGAAGACGATGATGATGAAGTCGACGACGTCGGCCATGAACATGAGGGCGTAGACATCCGTCACGGGGCTGAAGTCCGGGTGGATGAGGTCGTAGAAGAACTGGCGGATGGGGCGGTACACCTGCAGCACCCTGGGTGCAGCACGCACACACAGCACAGCGGTGAGACGGGGGCGGCCGCACGGACGGTCACTCACTCACTGACGTCACTTGCTCACTCGCTCACGTCACTCACTCACGTCACTCACGTGAGTAAGTGACGTGAGCGAGTGGATTCACGGACTCCGTAGTGGACATCACGTTTGAATGCACCTCTACGAAATGGGAAGTAATCGACGATCACGTGCACGATTCAACGTGGGTATCCTGAGTTGAGCAATGACTCGAAGACTCGCGGCCTCCCTACCGAAAACGACAGCGTTCCCCTGTGCTGCACCAGGCCGGCACCGCTCGTGGATCCAGTGACAGAAGCCAGACAACTCCACCCCAGGATTTGCATGCTCAGGTGAGTGTAGTAATAGGTGCAGCCCTGAGACTGACTTGCTCGTGCCACCGCTGGCAAAAGCGCCTCCACTCGATGGAGCTCAGAAGTGCCCCTCTACCCATAGAGGGTATTTGGCCTACTCTTCCATGTTGGCCAAATGTCTTGGAAGAGGAGAGTACCCACACTTTCCCGCACCGAACGTAAGCCGCCGAGCGATTAAGCGGTGTCGTCAGTGCGTGCCGGTGCTTTAGCCAAGTGGCCGAAACACCACATCAGTGGCTTCGCCGACTTTTACATTTGCACTTGTTAATGAATATTATTCCATGGAGAGCCGCAGGGCTGCTTCCCAGAGAGGGAGCTACGCTTGGGATGTTGGGAAGAGTTGGCAAAGGAAGCACGAGGCGGTGACACTGTGACGTTGTCTTTGCTGCAGACCGGGCAATGACGAAGTTGCGACACCGCATCGCCAGCTCCTGCGCCTTCATCATCAGCAGCTCCTTCCGGGTGCGCGGGGCCGGCGGGGTCGGCATTCTGCTGCCCTTCCGGCTGCTGCCCTTCCGGCTGCTCCCTGTGACCCGGCCGGCGGGGGGGGAGGGGGGCGCGAGACGGGAAACGGGGCGCTCCGATCGCATGTCCTCGACTTGTTCACGTTCTCATTGCGAAGCTGGGTGGAGAGTCACGAGGGATAACGTCGTCATTTTATTTTTGCCTCGACGCGTGGCGCCCTTTCCTGGCACAAATCTGCCACCCAAAGAAGCCAACTCGCGCATTGCCCCCACATTAGAGAACGGCACTGGAAAATAACTTGACTGGTAAGAATCAGTTTAAGTCGGGGGTTACGTTCCTGTAAAACACGACTTTAGCTGATTCGACGTTATGTGATCAGCTATTTTCCGTAAGAACAAACTACAACACAGGAGATACGTTCCGACACTCAAATATAATGTAAAGTCTTCATAAATCACAAATTATAAAATTTTAAGTAGGAAGAATAATGCTAAATAGAGGAAAGTAAGTACAATTTATATTTACACACACATTTAAAACACATTATTACAGAAGGCAATAAAATAAATACTTAATGGGTACTTATAGTTTCATAGGTGGTGGAGAGGCGAGTGGTAGAGGCATACACGGTCACATGGGATAGAACCACTACACCACTCAGAGTAGTCCCTCCGCCATGCACGAGCAGCGCACGGCACGAGAACACGACTTGGTCATCGAGCAACTCACGAGCAATAATAAACAACTTTGTCGACGGCGTAAAGCGGATAATAATGCCCCCTTATTTGGCAACGACGTGAAAACGATGAGACGTAAACTCATCGTTGCCGCAATACAAATACTTCTGAGGTCCCTTCGACTGCCACCGAGCCGCAGGATATGGTGGCGCATCGTCTCGCGAGCTCCGCTCTGACAGGTGCCAGACGCGCGGCAACCAAACAGAACGCGTCCGAGCTCTCGGCGCCGGAAGGAGCCGCGCTAAGGGCGACCCACGTAATCGCAAACTCTCCGCGGCGGCCCTTGGTGGCCGGGCTGAGACTATCGGTTGCGACGGGGTCAAAGAGGCGCGCCCGCGGCGGTCGGTCCGCGTCGGACGGCGAACGAGGCGGCGCCGTCGGCCCGCGTTGGAGGCTCACCTGGCCGCGAGCTGTGGCCCGACAGCTGAGAGATCCCCGAACTCTTGCGCCGGGGGCCGTCCGAGTGGCAGCCGGCGCCGCCCGGCCCCGGGCCGCTCGGCACGGCCAGCAGAGGGCCGGACGGAACGGCGGGCGGCCCCGCGACGGCCGGCGGGCCCGGAGGGGGCGGCCCCGCGACGGAGACGGAGGGGGCGGGCTCCGCGCTGGCCCTGCGGGGCCGCTCGCCGAGCGGGCGCGCCGCCTCTTGACACGACGGCTTGCGGCTGCCGGGCGCCGCCGGGGAGCCGTCCCCGCCGCCGGCGCTCGCCTCGTCGCCCGGGGTCGCTCGCTCCTCCTCGGCGTCGTCCCAAAGGCCGTAGCACTGAGCGCCGTCATCGAGCGGCGCACGCGCGCACACACGCGTACGTACGCACGTACCGGCAAGCTCCGTTAGCGAGCACCGATTAAAGGACGGTGAGGCCAGCACCATGTCCGGCCGCCTACGTCTCCCAAGTGCTGATGTTCACGCACCCTACCAGGTGCTCATTTAAGGCCGACTTGACCTAGGCGAGGCCCAGGACCAATTCAGATATTTCGTCACCGATGTTAGCCGTGAGCGGGAATCGAACTCGGGCCGCCGGGTTCGCGGTGCGGTGCGCTGACCGCTCCACCGCAGCTCCCCGCAACGCGTGCAGTCACGTACGCACAGACGTACGTACGCGCACATACGCACCTTGAGGATGGAGCGGTGGAAGAAGAGCACGAGCAGCTGCACGAGGTCGTAGTAAACGTATCCCTCCTTCTTCTCCACGCCGATGATGGTCGCCGGGTCAAAGGGCTTGTCCAGGCTCAGGGCAAGCCTCACCATCGTGTTCCAGGGGAAGAAGCCGAATTGGAAGAAGTATTTGATGACGACCGTCACCTGCACACACGCGGACACGGCCGGCCACCGCGTTCCCATACCGCACACAGCAGCGGGCGCCGTGGCGGCGAGATGTGATCTCCCTCGCCTGGTATGCAGGAAGACATGGGTTCGATCCCGACCCTGACGCCTGTTGTATATTTGGTGGTCGTGTGGCTATTTCTCTGGGTCTTCCAGTTTTTCCCTCTACATTTAGAATCAAAGTGTATTTAGATTTGGCTGCTCCTAAAAATTACCACGTGTGATAAGCCACTTCGTTGTGCTATCATTTGTGGCCAGGTGGCTTCTGATAAAGAGCTAATAGCTCAGTGGGCCTGACCTTGTAAATAAAATTGTTTTGTTTATAGTTTAGTTTAGGAACAATGGCATTGTTAGAAGAGTGCTGAGCCAGCTTGACCCAGGTTCTAGGTTAGACTCCGGGCAGTCGGCTGACACTGAACCAGACTCTCACGGGTTGTGAAATCGCTTTGGTTCGTATTGTTTGTGCCGCGTCTTCCTGCACGCGGGCACGCACCTCGGTGTACACAATAGCCGTCATCCAGAAACGCTTGCTGGGCCGCGGCACGGACAGCATGGCCCACAGGAAGATGAGGATGGGCAGCACCAGCGTGATGCTGGAGGCCGAGATCATGTGGTTGAGGATGATGATGAAGTAGCACATCATCTCAGAGCGCGCCACCACGGTGTTGTAGAGCGCGAAGAAGAGCTTGAGCAGCCGCGTCTGCTCCGCGTAGAAGCGGTCCGAGTTGTCGAGGTCGTCGTCCTCAAAGAGCCTGCGCACGACGAGACATCGCACGCAGCGCGGGAACGTCGTCACCCGCACGACGAGACATCGCACTCAGGGTGGGAACGTCGTCACCCGCACAACGAGACATCGCACTCAGGGTGGGAACGTCGTCACCCGCACGACGAGACATCGCACTCAGGGTGGGAACGTCGTCACCCGCACGACGAGACATCGCACTCAGGGTGGGAACGTCGTCGACGTAATCACCAACGAAACGTCACGGTATTCAAATGGTAAATGTTGAGGGTTTACTCTCCAACACACCGGTGTGTGGAGCTAGTAACAAATTAGTACGTTTCGTTCACCGTGACAAACCCGATTGGCTGTCTGGTGGTGGTGGGTTTAATGACACATTCATATTGACGCGACCTTACCCAAAAAAAAACCTTCATTATGGATTAGAGACAGCATCCACACGAGAGATCATCCAACTATAAACATCGAAACTAGAAATATTAACGAGAGACACCATTAGCACCAGATACAGGCAGTCCCCGGGTTACGAAAGACCCGACTTACAGAAATCTAACATTACGGATATGCTCCCATAAATCATGTAAAAAATAATTCAATACTGTATGCGCAAATGTTTGCATTAGTTCTGTGAGCGCAAATAGTGCAGCGTGGCGAGGTTGCGGATGAATACCACGGAGCGAGGCAGAAGGTAAATGGAATTTTTTGTAGCGTTACGTAATTATTTTCCTTTTGTAGCATGATGCAATTGTTTATTTTATATTCTTAGAATTACACTTCGATTGCTCATGGTCTCAGGCAACAGCGATCAGAGGAGTGCAGAGCATATGTACAGTGATACGGTGAGAGGAAACGAATGAGTAATTGCGTAGGCGAGGCACAACTATTTCCGGCGCTGGGATTTTATCGTTGATTTTGGGGGGAAAAAGTTTACGAGAATTCGGGTTGCTGATCGTTCTCAGGAACCTAACCCTTCCGTAACCCGGGGACTGCCTGTACATCATCAGTGTGAGAAGCATCATCAACTCTAGAGATTTAATGAAACCGTAAACCACGCGGCATAACAAAGTACCCTGGGATCACAACACTCGCGCTGCAGGGGGGCACCTGTTGAGCAGCAGCTCGCTGGCCGTGTGCTGGTGGGACAGCGCCAGTGCGGGCGCGTCCCCGCTCTGCACCGACAGCAGGCTCTTGGGGCGGTCGCCCAAGTCCACTGCCGCCGCCTCCTTCGGCGCCGGCGACTTCCGCAGGACGACGACCCCGGCCTCCGGCAGCGAGTCCAGGCTGGCGGCCTTGCTGTAGGTGGGCGGCGCCTCGTCGATGCCGCGTGGGAACTCGGCGGGGCTCTCGTCCTCCGCCTCGAACTCCACGTCGTCGCTCGTCGCTCCCTCGCCGGTCGCGCAGCTGTAGTCGGACGTCCCGGTGGCTCCCGCCGCCCCCCGACGACGGAGCCGCCGCCCCTCCTCCTCCTCCCCGTCGTCCTCCTCGTCGTCTCCGTCGCGGCGGCGGCCGCGGCCGGGATCGCGCCGTCCCCGCGCGCCGCCGCGCGCCGCCGCGTCCTCCTCGTCGGACGCCTCCTCGATGGTGTCGGCGGTTCCCTGGCGCGACGCCAGCGTCGTCACCTGCGTGGCCTCGCTGCACGCGCGGCACACGGGAAGCACGGCCCATGTGAGGCGCGGCACGGTGCCAGGGCCCCGGCGGTGCTGTCCGGGTGCCCATCCAAGCGGCTGCGTTGCCACCCTGGCGCCAGGCCTCCTCGTCTGTTCATCTTCAGACAATGTTTTGCATTTATTTGGTATTGCTTTAATGCCTCGTTGCATTTAATTTTAAAAATTTAAAGGGGACCCCCCTTTAGTGGCAGCTGTCCCTGCGTTTAGATGATTAAACTGCTATAAATTTCCACATGATGATAAGCCACTTTGTTGAGATATAATTTGTGGCCAGGTCGCTTCTGAAAAAGTGGGCCTTACTTGGTAAGATAAAAATAGTTTCGTTTTATTTGTAGGTATTTTAAGTGATTTATTACCTTTCCTATACTTTGCACTCCTATCGTGCTTCTGTACTGTTTGTTGTCGTGACGTTCTTACCCCGTGCCCCTACTGGACATCTGTGAAAAAGAGCTTTATAGCTCATCGGATTCAGCACGAGCCTGCATGTGGGCATTGGTCATCCAGCAGGGTACAATGATTTCTATGTGGGATCCCAATTGAGTATTTGCCAGGATAGCTTAACTTCAAGTGGTAACTAAACAACAACAATACACAATGCGTTAACAATAATCTATGAATGGAACTCGGTATAATAGTTGCATGTGTGCATTCATGACAGCCCCAGAGACGAACAGGCATTTCAAAACGGCCATTGGGTGAAAGCGGAAAAGACAGGACGGAAAAAAATAATATTTGAACAAATCAGCTGAAGACGAAGGGAAGGGCAAATGAAGGTTTACGAAGGCACAGCAGCAGATGGGGTCAGGACATTTGACGCGGCAGCTGCGAGACAGGGAGCACGACACCGCAGGGCAGGCTAGGAGCTCTGGGCAGGCAGGCAGGACGTCGGGATGGGTGGGTGAGCGGAAAAATAAAAGTAAAGGTTCGCGTGCTTCCGGGGTGCTCAGGAGGTGTCTTCGGAGCAGGCGGGGAGAGAGGAGATGGAGTGGCTGGGGACGAGGCTGCGAGGTGTGTGACAGGAGCCAACGCTGAAGCTGCCCGTGGGAGCTGGTGTGTGGCTGGTGCAAGGTGCTTGGATGCGACAAAGAGGCGGTGTTAATTTTCTCTAACTTTTTTTTGAATTTTTGTAATTTGGTAATTTTGCAGCAATGTTGTCCCACTCCCGCAGCCAGCGAGTTTCCGTCATGCTCCTCGACGACGACACCACGGTCTTTCGTTTCTCTTGGTGCTTATCGTAAAGAGTTTCGCGAAATCACAAATGCCCAAGTGAATTTCAATTTACTGGGCACCGAAGAACGCAGCCCTATCGGTTGCGAGCGGAGACCATTAACACTGGTGCCAGGTGGCGTCGCCACGGGGTAGAGAGGAAGTGGGGGGGAGGGGGAGGTTGGGGGGGCTCCTCCGTGGGCACCGCCGGGCGGTCGGGCACCACCACCTCTGCATCTGGCTGGAGCTGTCGAGTGAGGACGACTGCGAGTCGTCCACGTGGATGGAGCGGCGTAGGCGCGGGCGAAACCGCTCGCCAGGCGTGCCCGGCGTGATCGGCGTGCCCGGCGTGCCCGGCGTGATCGGCGTGATCGGCGTGATCGGCGTGATCGGCGTGGCCGGTGCGGCCGCGACGGTGGCGGCGGTGCCAGGAGTCATGTCCTCTCCGGCCGAGTCGAGCGTATTCTGCTGCGACCACAGCGTCGTGGCCTCCGTCACGCAGCTTCCGCGCAGGAGAGAGGGGGGCGGCCGCGGCAGGTGGGGGTGGGGGGGTCATCGAGAGGTCACCCGAAGTCAGTGAAAGGGTCGATTTAGCTGGTGAAGGGCCTGTGCAGCCCAGCTCACGGCCAAGTGGAATTTGAAGACACGGCCACGTGATTTTTTATTTACGCAGGAAAGCCTCTTTACCGAGTCTCAAGGCAGTAGGGGGCGATGTTGCTGCTGCTGCGTGATCACAATTGAGTGATTTTCGGGTACATTTTCAGCATCGGGATATTTTGCAGTATACCAGTGACATTGTGTTTGTTTGCTTTTAGCTCTGGAAGGAAAACCAGAGAACCCAGAGGAAACCCATGCAGAACAGGGAAGAAAATATACACTACACACACAGAAAGGCACCCGAGTTGGGAGGTGAACCCAGGCACGTCTTGCTGCGAGGCACGAGCGTGACCAGCGCCGTGGTGCTCTGGCGATGTCATGGGACCGAGGAATGACGACAGTGACGTCAAAGGAGCGCTCTCGTGGCGTCTCTCGCTCGAGCTCAGCATGAACTCACCTGGCCAGGGTCCTCTGTAGGCAACGGGACATTGGCAGGAGAGGCAGCGTTCCTCGTGCCTGCCGCCCGCTCACGTGAGCGCCCATCATCCACGGATCCCTGTAGCCTGCATCGTCCTGACTGTCTCCTCCCTCGATCTGCTTAACCCGTCCCTTTCCCTCGACCCCCTCACACTCCGAGTGACGTTGCGTCTCGTCTCTCTCTCTCCGTGTGTGGTTGCCCATGCCCTATAACTGCCCGTTGCCCACGCGTGCTCGCGATGAAATCATTTACAGAAAGAAAAAAAGGAAATTTAAAAAAGAGGACAATGATGGATAGGAGCGAAGAACGATAACGGTCACACCGCACAGCTCTCTGGCGTGTGTTGGGCAGAGCGAAACGTCGGACATCGTGCCGAACAACACGCGGCAACAAACCCAACAACACCCCCCGGAGAGTCGCCCAGCAGCAGCAGCACGACCGACTTGGAAAGCCGCCACGAAGAGGCTACGGACGCAGACAGACAGAGAGAGGGAGGGAGGAGGACACGGCCAGGGTCCGGACACCCTGGGCCGCCAGGTTGACGTTGGGCACCTGCAGGGGCTGCTGTCCGACATGAGCACCGAGTCCTGGCTGGAGGCGGCTCCACGGAGTCGCGCGGGCCTTGCTCCCCTCTCGCGGGCCTGGCTCCCCTCGCCCCGACGGGGCCCTCGTCCCGAGCTTGGGCCGCTCTCGTCCACCGACGCCTCGTCCTCCGAGTGGTTCATCTTGGTGTGGTAGTAGCTCATGATGCTCTCCTTGGAGGGAACGTTTCCCTGCGCGCACCAGGCACGCGCGTTACGTATGTACGCGTGCGTGTGCTGAACTTCTCTCGCACCGTACGTAGTCGACCGTGCTAAATTGGCATGTGCACGTACAAGGGGCGAACAGCATTCGCCCATCATACCCACTCATGCGTAAAGTCGGTCTGAATAGGTGTTTGTGAACAGCATTCGGCCCGACAGCCTAAAAGGATGAATGGGTGATGTGGTTGTTGGGAGGTTGGTGCAGCTATGTGGGGGAGGTGTGTGGGGGGTAGCGGTGGAGTAGCGGTCAGCGCACTGCGCTACAAACCCAGCGACCCGGGTTCAATTCCCGCTCACGGTCGACACCAGCGATGCGTGTAAACATCGCCACTAGCGAGACAAAGGCGTGGTGCTGGCCACCCGCCCCCTCGTGTGCCATGCCGGTCTTCATAGGTGCTCACAAACAGCACTTGCCCCTATACGTCTTTTTTGCAGGTATGTAGATAAATGGAAAGACAAGAGGGAGTTAAGTTCACGCGGATCTGTCAGGGTCCTTAATTCCACGTGCGACACACCACATCCAGTATACTTCTCCGTATGGCTGAGTCATGTACCTACTCCGGTCTTTATTTCATTTAATACAGAGCTGCTATGCACAGGCTGGAAGGCCCAATACGTTAAATGGGCAGCAGCAAACAGCACGATCCCAGTCGTCACAGGTAAGAGTGCAACACGTTGTCTGAGCAAGGTGATTATGAAGCACTGTGGGGAAAAGAAACGTGGATCAGTGCGAGGGAGAAACAGAAAGGGAAGCGTGGTGACCTGCGGCGTGGTGACCGGACGTGGCGTGGTGACCGGACGTGGCGTGGTGACCGGACGTGGCGTGGTGACCGTGGCGTGGTGTGGTGGCGGTGACCGTGGTGTGGTGGCGGTGACCGTGGCGTGGTGTGGTGTGGTGATCGGACGTGGTGGCGGTGACGTGGTGGCGGTGACGTGGTGGCGGTGACGTGGTGGCGGTGACGTGGTGGCGGTGACGTGGTGCCCGTGGCGTGGTGTGGTGACCGTGGCGTGGTGTGGTGGCGGTGACCGTGGCGTGGTGTGGTGATCGGACGTGGTGGCGGTGACGTGGTGGCGGTGACGTGGTGCCCGTGGCGTGGCGTGGTGACCCTGGCGTGGTGTAGTGACCGTGGCGTGGTGGCGGTGACGTCGAGTGCTCGCCGCTCGGGTACCTTCTTGACCTCGCGCGACAGCATGCAGCGCTCGATGCGCAGCACGGTGGAGATGTTGGCGTACTCGCGCGACACCGCGTTCAGCCACTCGACGAAGGAGTCGAGGAAGGCGAGGGACAGCACGTAGGTGAACTTGACGATGTAGAGTGCCCGCCGCACCACGCCGTCTGCGGTCACCCGCGGCAGCACGCGCACGCCGCGTCACAACAGTGCGACCACAGTCGCGCACACATACAGACATGCCACACACATACAGACATGCCACACACACATGCCACACAGACTTAGATGCCACACACATACATGTGTAGTGGAGTTCTCCATGACGCCGATAAGTATTTTCCCGCATATAACCCGCCAATGCATATACCCCGCAAAAAATGTGTAAACAAATTTCAGATAGCCCGCACCTCCATATACCCGCACCTCCATATGCCCCGCACCTCCATATACCCGCACCTCCATATACCCCGCACCTCCATATACCCGCACCTCCATATGCCCCGCACCTCCATATACCCGCACCTCCATATACCCCGCACCTCCATATACCCGCACCTCCATATGCCCCGCACCTCCATATACCCGCACCTCCATATACCCCGCACCTCCATATACCCGCACCTCCATATGCCCCGCACCTCCATATACCCGCACCTCCATATACCCCGCACCTCCATATACCCGCACCTCCATATACCCCGCACCTCCATATACCCCGCACCTCCATATACCCGCCCCTCCATATACCCGCACCTCCATATACCCCGCACCTCCATATACCCGCACCTCCATATACCCCGCACCTCCATATACCCCGCACCTCCATATACCCGCACCTCCATATACCCGCACCTCCATATACCCCGCACCTCCATATACCCCGCACCTCCATATACCCCGCACCTCCATATACCCCGCACCTCCATATACCCGCACCTCCATATACCCGCACCTCCATATACCCCGCACCTCCATATACCCGCACCTCCATATACCCCGCACCTCCATATACCCGCACCTCCATATACCCCGCACCTCCATATGCCCCGCACCTCCATATACCCGCACCTCCATATACCCCGCACCTCCATATACCCGCACCTCCATATACCCCGCACCTCCATATACCCGCACCTCCATATGCCCCGCACCTCCATATACCCGCACCTCCATATACCCCGCACCTCCATATACCCGCACCTCCATATACCCGCACCTCCATATACCCGCACCTCCATATACCCGCACCTCCATATACCCGCACCTCCATATACCCCGCACCTCCATATACCCCGCACCTCCATATACCCCGCACCTCCATATACCCCGCACCTCCATATACCCCGCACCTCCATATACCCCGCACCTCCATATACCCGCACCTCCATATACCCCGCACCTCCATATACCCCGCACCTCCATATACCCGCACCTCCATATACCCGCACCTCCATATACCCGCACCTCCATATACCCCGCACCTCCATATACCCGCACCTCCATATACCCCGCACCTCCATATACCCCGCACCTCCATATACCCCGCACCTCCATATACCCGCACCTCCATATACCCCGCACCTCCATATACCCCGCACCTCCATATACCCCGCACCTCCATATACCCCGCACCTCCATATACCCCGCACCTCCATATACCCGCACCTCCATATACCCGCACCTCCATATACCCCGCACCTCCATATACCCGCACCTCCATATACCCGCACCTCCATATACCCGCACCTCCATATACCCCGCACCTCCATATACCCGCACCTCCATATACCCGCACCTCCATATACCCCGCACCTCCATATACCCCGCACCTCCATATACCCGCACCTCCATATACCCCGCACCTCCATATACCCGCACCTCCATATACCCGCACCTCCATATACCCGCACCTCCATATACCCCGCACCTCCATATACCCCGCACCTCCATATACCCGCACCTCCATATACCCGCACCTCCATATACCCCGCACCTCCATATACCCGCCCTCCATATACCCGCACCTCCATTTACCCCGCACCTCCATATACCCCGCACCTCCATATACCCGCACCTCCATATACCCCGCACCTCCATATACCCGCACCTCCATATACCCCGCACCTCCATATACCCGCACCTCCATATACCCCGCACCTCCATATACCCGCACCTCCATATACCCCGCACCTCCATATACCCGCACCTCCATATACCCGCACCTCCATATACCCCGCACCTCCATATACCCGCACCTCCATATACCCGCACCTCCATATACCCCCGCACCTCCATATACCCCGCACCTCCATATACCCCGCACCTCCATATACCCCGCACCTCCATATACCCCGCACCTCCATATACCCCGCACCTCCATATACCCCGCACCTCCATATACCCCGCACCTCCATATACCCCGCACCTCCATATACCCGCACCTCCATATACCCCGCACCTCCATATACCCGCACCTCCATATACCCCGCACCTCCATATACCCGCACCTCCATATACCCCGCACCTCCATATACCCCGCACCTCCATATACCCCGCACCTCCATATACCCCGCACCTCCATATACCCCGCACCTCCATATACCCCGCACCTCCATATACCCCGCACCTCCATATACCCCGCACCTCCATATACCCCGCACCTCCATATACCCCGCACCTCCATATACCCCGCACCTCCATATACCCGCACCTCCATATACCCGCACCTCCATATACCCGCACCTCCATATACCCCGCACCTCCATATACCCCGCACCTCCATATACCCCGCATGCATTCATATCTCTAACGTCGTTACCGCAGCTAAATTCCATCATATTAATACAAAGTTTACATTTGTAATACATCCCACTATCAATTGTTAACATTAAAATCATAACGTGCACAAAGAAAACAAACTAACCAGAAACGAGTGAACTTAAAACAGTAAATAAGTAACAAAAGTAAATATCCAATAAATAGGTAACACATAACTGGTAGATAAGTAAGTGTACTGTTAGGCTTACCAGCATTCGACCTCATCATATTACAGCTACTGGACCGGTAGTTACCCCTGTACAGTTTCAGCACTGGTAGATTGTGCACTGCGCAGACAATAACGGCACTACGGTAACGCCATTGCCTCCTGGCAACAAAGCCATTGGAAGTTTGAAAAAAGCTCGTGGTCGCGACTGTATAGTGCTCAGCCAATAGCAGCGGCCGAAGGGACTCAGCAATTATGATTCCTGAAACTTTCGCACCCCCCTACAGCCACTGAAAGTATTACGGTAAACAAAGTGCGCCCAGTTCAAACATTGTCGTTTCATTGTACAAACAATTTGAATAATTTAAAACGTGATATTCAGCAGTGCTTTAGTCAAATGTAAGTGTTGCATAGTGGATAGTCCTACCATGAAAACATTAAACGAGTTATGTCACACGTGTAAAAATATTTTTTGGGATAACCCGCACCTCCATATACCCCGCAGGGTCTTGTTTTGTTTGTAAAAAGTGGTATAGCCCGCGGGTTATATGCGGGAATCTATGGTATTACAGAACCAGACGGAGACCAGATCTTTACTCAGGGCTGTTTGCTGTTTATTCACTTGTGCCCTCCTCTCGATTCACTCTCTCTCTCTCCACTCCACACTTCCACCCGTGGCGGGTCCACGCTACACCCCGTCCCTTCACCCCTTCCTCAACTACCCTGTCAGGGCTACCCCTCGGTCTCCCCTCTCGTCTTCTCCAGGCGGGAGGTCAACTCACACCGCCCGAGAGCGAGGTCCCACCTCCTCAGCCCGTAGCCCCCCCCTCGTCTCTCTCTGCCCGGGACGTCTTCCTTCAGCTCTTCCTTCCTCTCTCCCCCTCTCCCCCCCCCCTCCCCCCCCCCCCCTCTCCCCCCCCTCTCTCTCCCGAGGTCCCCCTTTATATCCCCCGTGCCCGGGGCCCCCCCCCTCCCTCCCTCCCTCCCTCCCTCCCTTCCGCCAGCTCCCCCCTTGGCGGACGTCGTACGCCCCCCCCCCTCTCCCGTCACGCCTCGACCTCCCCCGACTCCTCCCTTGGCCTGCACCTCTTCCCACGCTCGCCCCTCGTTGGGTACTCGCGGAACTCCTCTACACATGTTGCACACATGTTACACACACGTTACACACACACTTACATGCCACACATATACATGCCACATACATACCACACACACATACATACATGCCACACACAGGCAAACATACATACCACACACACATGCACACATACATGCCACACAGTCATGCCACACTCACACATACATGCCACACACATACATACAGGCCAAACACATGCATGCATACATGCCACACACACGACACACACACATGACACACACGCCACACATACATGCCACACACACATACATACATGCAAGGGCTACACACATGATACATTGATATCCATGAGTTGGGATCCCCTCTGACTGCAATAAGTGCCGGACCCCCTCTCACCCGGGCCCTCCTCCTCCTCCCCCTGGGTCTCGTCAGCAGGTGATGTCCCATCGTCCTCTTCGGGGATGTCCACCCTCACGTCGGTTGCTCCTTCACACATCACGCACCGCGTGCCCAATGTTACGCCATCGCAGCACCATCGCACAAAGATCCCCCGTATAGCCTTTAACAGACTGTTGGGGCAAGTGCTGTTAGCGAGCACCCGCGAAGGCCGGAACCGTACACGAGGGGGTGGGTGGCCAGCACCACGCCCGACCGCCTTTGTCTCCCCAGTGGCGATGTTTACACACCGCACCAGGTACTCATTTGAGGCTGAGTCGACTGAGGGGAGGCCCAGGACCGGTTCAGATAATCGTCACCGGTGTTGGCCGTGAACTCGCTACGCTGAGATCGTAGCGCAGCGTAGCGCTAACCGCTACACTACCGCTCCCCACTCACACACACAGCCTACAATTTGCATAAAACTAACACAGCACCATCACAACACCATCAACACACTGCAACGGAATGTCCCACCACACCATCACACAGCACACACTTAGCGTCACAGCATCACCGCATCTCCACAGATGCTGAAGATGCCGCAGATACTGAAGATAGTTTAGGTGGGGAATACAGTGGAGCTACTACAGATGATGGAGATGGTGGAGCTCGTGTCGGTGAATAAGATGGTGGAGATATTGAAGATGGTGAAGGTGGAGGAGATGATGGAGGTGGTGATGGTGAAGGTGGAGATGGTGAAGGTGGTGATGGTGAAGGTGGAGATGGTGAAGGTGGTGATGGTGAAGGTGGTGATGGTGAACGTGGTGATGGTGAAGGTGGTGATGGTGAAGGTGGTGATGGTGAAGGTGGTGATGGTGTAGGTGGTGATGGTGAAGGTGGAGATGGTGAAGGTGGTGGTGGTGATGGTGGAGATGGTGAAGGTGGTGATGGTGTAGGTGGTGATGGTGAAGGTGGAGATGGTGAAGATGGTGATAGTGTAGGTGGAGATGGTGTAGGTGGTGATGGTGAAGGTGTAGATGGTGAAGGTGGAGATGGTGTAGGTGGTGATGGTGTAGGTAGTGATGGTGAAGGTGGAGATGGTGAAGATTGTGATAGTGTAGGTGGAGATGGTGTAGGTGGTGATGGTGAAGGTGTAGATGGTGAAGATGGTGATGGTGTAGGTGGAGATGGTGATAGTGTAGGTGGTGATGGTGAAGGTGGTGATGGTGTAGGTGGAGATGGTGTAGGTGGTGATGGTGTAGGTGGAGATGGTGTAGGTGGTGATGGTGGAGGTGGAGATGGCGAAAGTGGAGATGGTGAAGGTGGTGATGGTGAAGATGGTGATGGTGTAGGTGGAGATGGTGATAGTGTAGGTGGTGATGGTGAAGGTGGTGATGGTGAAGGTGGTGATAGTGCAGGTGGAGATGGTGAAGGTGAAGGTGGTGATGGTGAAGGTGCTGATGGTGAAGGTGGAGATGGTGTAGGTGGAGATGGTGAAGGTGGAGATGGTGAAGGTGGAGATGGTGAAGGTGGAGATGGTGTAGGTGGAGATGGTGAAGGTGGTGATGGTGAAGGTGGTGATGGTGTAGGTGGAGATGGTGTAGGTGGTGATGGTGAAGGTGGTGATGGTGTAGGTGGAGATGGTGTAGGTGGAGATGGTGTAGGTGGAGATGGTGAAGGTGGCGATGGTGAAGGTGGAGATGGTGTAGGTGGAGATGGTGAAGGTGGTGATGGTGAAGGTGGTGATGGTGTAGGTGGAGATGGTGAAGGTGGTGATGGTGAAGGTGGTGATGGTGTAGGTGGAGATGGTGTAGGTGGAGATGGTGAAGGTGGTGATGGTGAAGGTGGAGATGGTGTAGGTGGAGATGGTGTAGGTGGAGATGGTGAAGGTGGTGATGGTGAAGGTGGTGATGGTGTAGGTGGAGATGGTGAAGGTGGTGATGGTGAAGGGGGAGATGGTGTAGGTGGAGATGGTGAAGGTGGTGATGGTGAAGGTGGTGATGGTGTAGGTGGAGATGGTGAAGGTGGTGATGGTGAAGGTGGTGATGGTGTAGGTGGAGATGGTGTAGGTGGAGATGGTGAAGGTGGTGATGGTGAAGGTGGAGATGGTGTAGGTGGAGATGGTGTAGGTGGTGATGGTGAAGGTGGTGATGGTGAAGGTGGAGATGGTGAAGGTGGTGATGGTGAAGGTGGAGATGGTGAAGGTGGTGATGGTGTAGGTGGAGATGGTGAAGGTGGTGATGGTGAAGGTGGAGATGGTGGAGATGGTGTAGGTGGTGATGGTGAAGGTGGAGATGGTGTAGGTGGTGTTGGTGTAGGTGGTGATGGTGAAGGTGGAGATGGTGAAGGTGGTGATGGTGTAGGTGGAGGTGGTGTAGGTGGTGATGGTGAAGGTGGTGATGGTGTAGGTGGAGATGGTGTAGGTGGATATGGTGTAGGTGGAGATGGTGAAGGTGGTGATGGTGAAGGGGGAGATGGTGTAGGTGGAGATGGTGAAGGTGGTGATGGTGAAGGTGGTGATGGTGTAGGTGGAGATGGTGAAGGTGGTGATGGTGAAGGTGGTGATGGTGTAGGTGGAGATGGTGTAGGTGGAGATGGTGAAGGTGGTGATGGTGAAGGTGGAGATGGTGTAGGTGGAGATGGTGTAGGCGGTGATGGTGAAGGTGGTGATGGTGTAGGTGGAGATGGTGAAGGTGGAGATGGTGAAGGTGGTGATGGTGAAGGTGGAGATGGTGAAGGTGGTGATGGTGTAGGTGGAGATGGTGAAGGTGGTGATGGTGAAGGTGGAGATGGTGAAGGTGGTGATGGTGGAGATGGTGAAGGTGGAGATGGTGTAGGTGGTGATGGTGTAGGTGGTGATGGTGTAGGTGGTGATGGTGAAGGTAGAGATGGTGAAGGTGGAGATGGTGAAGGTGGTGATGGTGAAGGTGGAGATGGTGAAGGTGGTGATGGTTAAGGTGGTGATGGTGTAGGTGGAGATGGTGTAGGTGGTGATGGTGTAGGTGGAGATGGTGTAGGTGGTGATGGTGAAGGTGGAGATGGTGAAGGTGGAGATGGTGAAGGTGGAGATGGTGAAGGTGGTGATGGTGAAGGTGGAGATGGTGAAGGTGGTGATGGTTAAGGTGGTGATGCTGTAAGTGGAGATGGTGTAGGTGGTGATGGTGTAGGTGGAGATGGTGTAGGTGGTGATGGTGAAGGTGGTGATGGTGAAGGTGGTGATGGTGTAGGTGGAGATGGTGATGGTGAAGGTGGTGATGGTGAAGGTGGTGATGGTATAGGTGGTGATGGTGTAGGTGGTGATGGTGAAGGTGGTGATGGTGGAGATGGTGAAGGTGGTGATGGTGAAAGTGGAGATGGTGAAGGTGGAGATGGTGTAGGTGGTGATGGTGAAGGTGGTGATGGTGGAGATGGTGAAGGTGGTGATGGTGAAGGTGGTAATGGTGTAGGTGGAGATGGTGTAGGTGGAGATGGTGAAGGTGGAGATGGTGTAGGTGGTGATGGTGAGGGTAGAGATGGTGTAGGTGGTGATGGTGTAGGTGGTGATGGTGAAGGTGGAGATGGTGTAGGTGGTGATGGTGTAGGTGGTGATGGTGTAGGTGGTGATGGTGTAGGTGGTGATGGTGTAGGTGGAGATGGTGTAGGTGGAGATGGTGTAGGAAGAGATGGTGTAGGTGGTGATGGTGAAGGTGGTGATGGTGAAGATGGTGATGGTGAAGGTGGAGATGGTGTAGGTGGTGATGGTGAAGGTGGAGATGGTGTAGGTGGAGATGGTGAAGGTGGTGATGGTGAAGGTGGAGATGGTGGAGATGGTGAAGGTGGTGATGGTGTAGGTGGTGATGGTGGAGATGGTGTAGGTGGTGATGGTAAAGGTCGAGGTGCTGGAGCTTCACCGTCACGCTGCTTGCTGCGCTGCTTGTCTCTCTGCTCCCGACGGATCTGCTTCTTCTCGCGCTGCCGCTCCTTGAGTGCCGAGCGCGAGTCCGTGACCCACGCGTGGTACGCAAACTGAGACGGAGGACGCACGCACAAACCAGCACGCAGGCACACACACAGACCAGCACGCACACACGCGTAGAAGAACGTGCATATGCGTACGCATGGGCAGACGCGCACGTGCGTATACACGGACGCGCGTGAACGCGAGCCCTCACAAGACCACGGACACGCGGACACGTGTGCGCGTGTACACACACAACGCACGTGGACGTACACTGAGGCGGGTGGATGGCGATGGCATTGCTGTAGGTCACTGGCAGTTAATTAACTAAATACGCTTGCCGCATTAGAACGCAGCGAATTGAATGTGTGAAAATTTGAATTGAGATCAACAACAATAATAATTAAAAGGTGAAAAATTATAAGTAACTTAAATTATTAATATTGTTCATTTTAATAAGAAAACATAATAATAATAATCCATAATAAAGGTTTTTGGGTTAGATCGCGTTATTTATGAATGTGTCGCAACCATCCACCACCCGACACGGCCAATCAGTAAAAAAGTGTCACGTTGACAAAAGACAAATCGTTCACTACTTTAGCCCACCGGTGTGTTGAAGAGTGAATCCACGACATTTTACATTTTCGAGTGCGAAGTTTCGCTGGTAATTACATCCAGCATCATCGACAAATCGCAAATCACCCGATTATGCTGGATGTAATTACCAGCGAAACGTCATACTCAAAAATGTTAAATGTCGTGGAATCACTCAACACACCGGTGGGCTAAAGTAGTGAACGATTCGTCTTTTGTCAACGTGACACATGTTTTGCTGATTGGCCGTGTCGGGTGGTGGAGGGTTGCGACACATTTATAAATAACGCGATCAAATCCAAAAACCTTTATTGTGAATAATATTGGTCGCGAAAGCCTACGTGTTAACCATAATAATAATCAATTAGATCAATCTTATCGGCACATACTCATTCCAAGTGAGCAAACTAAAGTCTTAAATGAATTTGGAAAATGTTTTGTTACTCATCGAACGCGTACAAGAATAAGACCGTTTTCTTAAAGTGGGAAGTTTCACAAATCTCTAAGTCCTGAAATAACAACCACGGGTGGATTTGGTATCGTCGAAGTTTAATGACAACTCCCCAATTGTCACCAACTCACGATCCCCCACAACCTCAGGTGAGGCAAAACTCAAACACAAATCCCTCCACACAGCATGGTACGATGTCGGGCATGGCCCTGGAAGATGACGACTCGAAACTTCTTCCGTAGTCACTTCCAGAGGCAATGACGACCAGCCTGACACCGGACGGTGATCCTTCAAGCTCTGTAGAGAATGATCAGTTTAACACGTGGTAAGGATTGCTTCCGCGACCAATAGTACCCACGATAGAGGGTTTTTTGTTGTTGCGTTAGATCTCGTAAATAATATTATAAATATTGCTATTTACGCGAGCTAAGCCTCGTGTAAATGACGATCATCAGAGCCGGGCCACACACTCTGACAAATGAGAAGCCAAACACACCACGGTGGCTGTCGAGACGGCGAACGAGGGGCAATAAATGCGACGCCTCAAAACAGTGGGGGGGGGGGCATGGTAAACGTTTACCGTGATATTCAAACGTTACCGTTTATTTAAAAAAAGAAAGACACGTACAGTCATTGTAAATAATAATAATAATAATTATTAATGTTCCGAGGGTGTTATGGAAATTCTCATTTACATTTGTCTGGGGGAAAAGTTAAATCCGGTTGGGAATTTTCCTAAAATTTTGGATTTGGGTTGAGATATCGACACACTTTATAGCCGACTGTTGTCTATAGCCTGACAACTATTAAGGGCAGTTTATAAATAATTATATTATTATGATAATGTTCCAGGATCAAACACTTTCACTTTATAGCCAACACCATACTTTGGTGATAATGTAACCCTTTAGTGCTGGACTCGGCTGAAACTCACGTTTAAGCTTCATCAGGTGGCGAAACCTCGTGCTTTTAACAAATAGGACCCATGAATATCAATATTCTTCGAGCCTCGTTTAAACCTATAACCACTTTTATTTTACCAGGTAATGCCCACTGAGCTATATAGTTATTTTTAGAAGCGACCTGGCCACAAATGATAGCTTGACGAAGTAGCTTATCACGTGGAAATCCATAGCAGCCAAATACTCTGAACGCATGTTTCTAAAAGTGTAGGGAAAAACCGGAGGACCCGGAGAAAAATACGCGTGACCACGGGGAGAGAGACGCCCACACTCCAAATATACAGCAAGCGTGAGGGTCGGGATCGAACCCACGACCTCCTGTATACCAGGCGAGGTAGTCAACTTCTCAATGTTGAGCCGAGGCCCTCATCAGTGTCGGCTCAACTCTCTAACAACAGCTTTAGCCCTCCCGAGCTACCCAGGCCACTGCACACGTGGCGCCTTGCGGCGTCGCGGTGGTCTCAAGTGTTCCCATTATTTTGAGGCGTCGCAACCGTTCGCGTCGCAGCACAGACGCCTGCCGATGTCACCCACACACAGCGGCGCCACAGGGATGCCCCGGGCTTGGACCAGTGGCCCCCCATTTCCCCCATCCACTTCGGAACTTTCCTTCAAGATGCGTGACGGGAGTTGGAACGCGTTATCCATTTGCACAAAAAAGGAGCTGGATTTTGAGATAAAAGGGGTATTTGTCAGATACTGCTCACATCTCTGGAGTCGGAAGAAGTGGATGGTGATGTTTGTTTCTGGGTTCCCTGTGGCTCCACTGAAGCCGGATTTTTGTTTCCACAAATCAGGCATTTTCGAGGGTACGTTGGCTCGGCGTGGTACACACACACTTCATCTCCATGAGCCGCATGGCAAGTTACAACAAATTGTCCTTCCCTGCCTACTCAGGCGTAGCAACTGCGTCCTGATGGGAAATGTTTTCAATGAACAATTATTTAATTTTGGCCCCCAACTGTTCAATCGTCAAGTTAGCCAGGTAGCTGATAAATCGTGAAGCACTAAACATTGCCACAATGGCACAATTTTGGTGGCCAAAACTTACAAAACCCACAGAGATGGACGAGATTGGCCTGTGGAAAACTGATCATAGCCGGCCTGACTGGACCAAACACGGCAACGCGCTCATGGAGACAAGCTCGGAGTCAACCAACATCAGCCGATGGACAGTACGGATAAGCCATGGATGGATGGACAAATGGAGTTTTCATGGAGCTTCGAGGTCACGCTCGTACGGACCGGCCCAGAGAGACTCATGCACATGGGTGGCGTCTCATGAGTGGCAGACGACAACACAGCAAGCGCGTTGGTGGGGGCAGAGGGACGGGAGAGGCCGAGAGAGGGCCTCAGCCCCCCCCCCCGCGCCCCAGCATTCAGCACAAGCACAACGAATGGGTAATGGATGGGTAATCACCAACAAGCTGTTAATTTGTTTTACCCCTAAACCATCGACGCACGCCTTGGCAGGGTGGAGTACATGATCAGCAGACGACACATTGCGTGAGTTGCGTGCCATTGCAGAAATGATGCATTAGTCAGGAAAATCCAGAAGCGTTAAATCAAGTTGTAACGATAACTTGGAGATGATGTATTTAGTGCCACTCAGGCATATCGTTAAAATAAACACTCGTGCGTACACATTGCAATGATATACCTCAGACAAGAATCTAATCTCCCGCCCGAAGATACTGACACTTCTCAAGAATTGGGGCTCAGTGTTTACGGCCGACCCTTGAGAAGTATGCCACCTGGCGTTGCCACGGTTTTCCATCTCCACGGAAACGCCACAAAAGTGAGAATCGCATCACGGTGCTGTGTGACGTAACAACACCTGTGCGGAATGCGACAGCGCCGTGGGCAATGTTGGCACCTACATCAGAGAGTGCTCGTGGCCAGACAGTCCACGCAGTTCGTGCATTTGCTGACGGGAGAACGCCACTTTACAGAACGTTGGGGATAGACCAATAACGAGTGGGGTGGCAGGGTTCGTGGAGGACATTGCCCTCTCCCCATGTAGCTACACCAACAATATTCCAATTCTCAAACTCCTTCTCTAATCCACGTTTTTTTTGTGACTCAAAATTAGCTCAACTTCACATCGTCGGGGAATTGTCATGGTTTAGCCATTGATGTTCCAGGATTTAGTTATGTCTGTCATGTTGGCCCAGTAGGGGGCACAGGTGGTGCATCTATCAGTCATCTCAGTCAGTCAACCCATGGCACCTAGGTCTCTCCCGTGACCTCCTGCCAGCGGGCGTTCAACACTTCACGTGGCCTCAAGGTGCACATAGCCTGGCACAAGCGTCGTGGTGACGTCACCGCCACTTAGTGGTGACGTCACCGCCACTTCGTGGCAAATGGCGGTTGTTGTATAATAAATGGCATGTGGAGTATCGCGTGGGTGACTTCGCTTTGAATTAATTTTTTCTACGAAATATAAAAGCTTAAAATAACCCAAACTGGAAGAACGTTGTTAATGTCCTAATTTGTTGTTGCATCACCACATACATCCCGCAGCAAGGGGTAGAGGAGCGTCCTTCTCAAACTCCTGCAAATCCACAGAGAATCACCTTGGCAGCAAGGAATGGCCCCAGAGGATGACACCGCAGAACTACTTCTGAAATAATTTCAAGAGGCCATTCTTACCCAACACTGGCTGGTGCTCGTTACAACTCTAAACTCGTAATCCGCTTTGTTTGGTGTGGCGAAAAGTCTACACCACGGGTCGGCATCCCGCGGCTACGGAGGCCGCGTGCGCCTCTTTAAGGACTGCTTCGTGATGTTTCGTTTTTCGTTTTTCGTTTAGTTGAGGCAATGTGCGGGCCCCGCCGCGTCGCGTCGTGACGCACGTACACACCGCCGACATGAACCAAGCCGGTGACATTAAAGGACGCGGCAGGAGCCCTGCAAGCAACAGCTTCGTGGCGCCCGCTCGGCTCAAACGGCAGAATCACGGCCCCTCGCCCCCCCCCCCCCCCCCCGAGGCTGTTAATTGGCCGCTAAGGCACCGCCGCCGCACTTTATGCGGTCGCTTCAAACGCCGAGCGGTCCC